AAATAAACTGAATAGAAATGGTATGGAAAAGGGTGAACCCGGGTTTTAAAAATAGGCATTTTCAACAGCATACTTTTTAAAAAGTTTCTACAGTTACAATAATAACATTTATTGTCCTCCCCCCACTTATTTCTGAACAGATCGACAAGGGGAATTCAAACTCAACTTCAGGATTTACACTTTTTTTCTCAATAGAACTATTCGATATTCTGGATTATATTTTACTTGTAGGATGAATCGTGTTTCTGAACCTCATCAGATCAGAAGAACGCCGAGACCCTCTGCAGAGAGATCGTTATTGGATGACCTTTATTTACAGTAGACTAAGAGAGGAAATCAGGAAATTACTTTAGTCTGTCGTCACACCAGGTGTGACTATAGACAGGATTAAACATTTATAAAGTTTCATTTCACTAATGATATAAGAAGGGAAATGCTCAGCACTCATACCAACATATCTACAGCAGAGGGGAAGAAGTTAGAAAAGCTCACCAGAAAGTCTGTCTGTTCGAGGACGTCCCCTGGGAAAGGACAGGAACAATAGCTTTGTTGGACAATGTCTCTCACGCCGTTCAGAGACAGGCTGCTGTACACTAGGTGTACAGAGGAGCATTATCAGATCCTTCCTGCCAACAGCTGGTTGAGACTTTTAAACCATTGAAGCTCCCCACAGACTCAGGGTCTTAACATCTGCTGAGTTGCAATCATTCATTCAGGTTAATAGTCTGTGTTATATGCTTTTTATCTATTTCTTTAAATAACAAAGTTCCAAGTTCTACATTATTGATGAAGTTATGTTTAACAACAAAGAGCTGCAGAGAGTTGCAAATTAGGCTTTTCTGTGTATGCTTATTTCTTTATTTTTATACTTTTATTAAGCGTTTTGTGAAATGGCTTCCTTTTGCTTAACACTTGATTTCTGCTGTCCAGGAAAAAGTATATCTGCTCCGTTGAACTCACCGTTCCACTAATTCCTGAGGATGGTGACTCCTTAGTTCACTATATTGGTATATCAGCTAATTACATCACCAGTCATGCTAACTAAATGACAGACAGGAACCAAACCCATCATCCAGCCATGATAGCAAGGCTGCATCAGGGAGCTGTAGAAGTTGTAGAATCCTCTCCTTATAAATATTTACTTATCTGAGAAAAAGTGCTGATCATTCTTTAATTAGATCCTCATCAAATGGACATGTTTTTAAAACCTAATGGGTCTGACAGACCTAGTAAATGATATTTATAAATTTATGTACAAAGGACAAAAATGCCCTGACGCAGCAGCATCTGTCCTTACAGACCACCGCAGCAGCATCTGTCCTTACAGACCACCGCAGCAGCATCTGTCCTTACAGACCACCGCAGCAGCAGCTGTCCACACAGACCACCGCAGCTAGCAGCAGCTGTCCACACAGACCGCAGCTAGCAGCAGCTGTCCACACAGACCACCGCAGCAGCAGCTGTCCACACAGACCACCGCAGCAGCAGCTGTCCACACAGACCACCGCAGCAGCAGCTGTCCACACAGACCACCGCAGCTAGCAGCAGCTGTCCACAGATCACAGCAGCTGCCCACACAGACCACAGCAGCTAGCAGCAGCTGTCCACAGACCACAGCAGCTAGCAGCAGTCCACAGCAGCTAGCAGCAGTCCACAGGAGCTAGCAGCAGTCCACAGGAGCTAGCAGCAGTCCACATGAGCTAGCAGCAGCTGTCCACATGAGCTAGCAGCAGCTGTCCACATAGACCACAGTAGCTAGCAGCTGTCCACACAGACCACAGCAGCTAGCAGCAGCTGTCCACACAGACCACAGCAGCTGTCCACACAGACCACAACAGCTAGCAGCAGCTGTCCACACAGACCACAGCAGCTGTCCACACAGACCACAGCAGCCGTCCACACAGACCACAGCAGCCGTCCACACAGACCACAGCAGCTGTCCACACAGACCACAGCAGCTAGCAGCAGCTGTCCACAGACCACCGCAGCAGCAGCTGTCCACAGACCACAGCAGCCAGCAGCAGCTGTCCACACAGACCACAGCAGCTGTCCACACAGACCATAGCAGCTAGCAGCTGTCCACACAGACCACAGCAGCTAGCAGCAGCTGTCCACAGACCACAGCAGCAGCTGTCCACACAGACCACAACAGCTAGCAGCAGCTGTCCACGCAGACCACAGCAGCTAGCAGCAGCTGTCCACGCAGACCACAGCAGCTAGCAGCAGCTGTCCACAGACCACAGCAGCAGCTGTCCACACAGACCACAGCAGCTAGCAGCAGTCCACAGCAGCCAGCAGCAGCTGTCCACACAGACCACAGCAGCAGCTGTCCACACAGACCACAGCAGCTAGCAGCAGCTGTCCACGCAGACCACAGCAGCTAGCAGCAGCTGTCCACAGACCACAGCAGCAGCTGTCCACACAGACCACAGCAGCTAGCAGCAGTCCACAGCAGCCAGCAGCAGCTGTCCACAGACCACAGCAGCTAGCAGCAGCTGTCCACGCAGACCACAGCAGTTAGCAGCAGCTGTCCACAGACCACAGCAGCAGCTGTCCACGCAGACCACAGCAGTTAGCAGCAGTCCACAGCAGCCAGCAGCAGCTGTCCACAGACCACAGCAGCTAGCAGCTGTCCACACAGACCATAGCAGCTAGCAGCAGCTGTCCACACAGACCACAGCAGCTAGCAGCTGTCCACACAGACCATAGCAGCTAGCATCAGCTGTCCACACAGACCACAGCAGCTAGCAGCTGTCCACACAGACCATAGCAGCTAGCAGCAGCTGTCCACACAGACCATAGCAGCTAGCAGCAGCTGTCCACACAGACCACAGCAGCTAGCAGCTGTCCACACAGACCATAGCAGCTAGCAGCAGCTGTCCACACAGACCATAGCAGCTAGCAGCTGTCCACACAGACCATAGCAGCTAGCAGCTGTCCACACAGACCATAGCAGCTAGCAGCTGTCCACACAGACCATAGCAGCTAGCAGCTGTCCACACAGACCATAGCAGCTAGCAGCAGCTGTCCACACAGACCATAGCAGCTAGCAGCTGTCCACACAGACCATAGCAGCTAGCAGCTGTCCACACAGACCATAGCAGCTAGCAGCAGCTGTCCACACAGACCATAGCAGCTAGCAGCTGTCCACACAGACCATAGCAGCTAGCAGCTGTCCACACAGACCACCGCAGCAGCAGCTGTCCACGCAGACCACAGCAGCTAGCAGCAGCTGTCCACACAGATCACACGTCTACAGACCCGTCCACAGACGCAGAACAATGAACACAACTATCAACAAGCGGTCGCGGTCCGGTGTGACTTCTTTGGGTTCTACTTCTGTCCAGATCCCCGCTGGTTCTGCTCTGACGGAGCCCCGGAACCCGTGACGGCCTCAGAGGAGCGGAGGCGGCCTGGATCTCCTCCTGCGCGGATCCCGCTCCCTTCGCTTCTTCTTCTTCTTATGAGATTTTATGGCGGTTGGCAGACTTGTGAATTGTGCATTACCGCCACCAACTGATATGGAGTAAAGCAAGAAAACAGGAAACGATTCACCCCCCCCCCCCCCCAAAAAAAAAAAAAAAAAAAAAAAAAAAAAAAAAACCTGTGTAACTTAAACCAACATAATACTAAATCACATTTGCCCATATAATTTTAATTTACTCTAGGTCATCGTAATTCTGCCAGTTTCTGATGGTCCCATCGGTCCTCCCATCATGCTTCCAACCATCTCCCAGTTCAAATCTTTAATGTCCAGATATTTTTCTGCAGCCTTCACTATTATTTTGATTTTTTCAGTTTTTTTTGTTGTCTGTGCAGTACAATTAATCACTTCTACCATGAAAAGAACAAAATTTGTCTTTTTAACAATTAGTGAGTCTTCATCAATTTTTGGAGATTTCTCTAGAGGTTTGGAATTTGCTGTGTGTTGAACTGTAGGTTTGGGTTTTTCTGACTGAGATGGGATCCTTTTTGCAGCTTCAGCGTAGGTTATTCCGAGCTCAAATTTCATTTTTTTAATTTCCTCAGACCTTTTGCTTGCTTCACAGCCGTGATAAGCAGCAGTATGTTCTCCACCACAATTACAGCATTTTATTTTAGCTTCTTTTCCACATTTTCCGTACTCATGTTCTCCTGCACACCTTCCACACCTCTGTTTCCCTTTACAAACTGCTGCAATGTGACCGAATTTTTGGCATTTGAAACATCTCAATGGTGGAGGATTGTAGATTTTGACATTATAGCTTATGTAACCGATGAATACTTTGCTTGGTAATTGCTCTTCTTCGAATTTAATTAACACCGATAAACTGTCAGATCTTTCTCCGTTTCTTGTTGTTTTTAACCGTTTTACTTCTTTTACTTTTGCACCGCTTATGTTTTCCAGAATCTCTTTTTCAGAAATTTTTAGAGGAACTCCTCCAATGACTCCCCTGCTGATCTTTTTGTTCTCCATTAGGCTGCACTGAACTCTTATCCCGTCAATTTTGTTGATACGTATTGCTTTGCCTTGCTGGGCGCTGTCTCTGCAGTTAATTAGCAGGTCTCCACTGTACAGAATTCTGGCACCTCTGACTTCTCCGACAAGTTTATTGATGGTTTTTGTTAAGTGAACCGGATTCCAATTTGTAAAAGACTCTGCCTGATTAACGACTTTGAATATGACTTTGAATTCATTTTGTTGTGCTGTGGAATGTATGGATTGATCATCACTGGATTGTTCTGAACTAGATTCCCCTTTAACTGATCTCTGTTTTTTCCGCTTTTTCTCATTTTTTGATGTTGCTATCTTCCAACCTTCATTGTCACTATTTCCTTCTTCCATCCCACAAGAATCGCTTCCTGTTTCCTCACTACTCACGGCCCAGGACATCTCTCCACAAGCAGCTTCAAAACACGCGCCATGCACCACCGGCCTGGTTCCGTGGTTGTCTACCGTTCCCTCTCTTCGCTTTGCGGGAACAGGTGGCCTTTCTAAGATGGCGTCCGAGTTTGCGCAGTTCCGGAAGGAGACGGTGTGTGTGACGTAACAGCAGGAGAAGTCTGCTATGTTTTGTTTTTTTTGAACACTGATGAGCCTCACGTGGACGCGGGACCGATGGAGCAGTCTACGTCCCGGACGGGTTGATGCGGCACCGGGGCGCCCTCGGTGTGTTCTTCCTGGCAGAAGGTAACAGGCAGCAGCAGGGCACGTGCTGGGATGGTTTGGTGCTAGGTGGGCAGCCATTGCTGGGCAGGGCTATGGCCTGCAGCTAGCTAGGCTCCTGAGTTTTAGCAGAACACTCAGGTTCTTTCTCTCATTCTACGACCTTCCTGTTGAGACTGGAGCATGCTGACATCCTCACTAACAAACACACATCTTCACCATTTCACTGATTAGCAGCAGCTTCTAGCCACTGGCTAATGGCAGCTTTTATAGCTAAATCGAATCAAAAGGAGAAAAACAGTCAAAATGATTGTTAGCAGGGCGGCTTACAGGCTGAAGATCATGTCTCCTTGGTTTTTAATGTCACTGCGTGGCCTGTCTGTAGACCACCATCTTTAATACAACAAAGGGCTGCTAGCAGCTGTTAGCATGGTTCCAATGTGGAGGAGAAGCAGCATGTTTGACAGGCTGCCTGCTTGATTAACTGTTTTTCTTCCTTTAAGCTTCACATTTTATAAAGAAGTTAGTTCAATAAGCTAAATAACAAACCATCTTATTAAATAGAAGACTAATATAACTAGCCTTGGCTACCTAGCGATTTGGCTACGTTAGCTGTGTTACCATCCAATTCTTGTTCAAATTTTGATCAAACTTCTAAAGTTTTGTAAAAAGTTAAATGTATAATAAACACTTTTGCATCGGATTTACAAAGAATCAACCAGGTGATGCAAAGACTAATGTTGTTATTCACTGACGATGGATCGGCTGTTAAACATGGTCAAAAACCACTTTAAAGTTACCACAAAATCTGGTTTGGTGAAATCTAACTTGGTTTAAATGTTACTGTTTCTATTCCTGCAGAGCTTAACAAAAAAAAAAAAAAAAAAAAAATTTCATTTCTAAATTTATTCTTATCATTAATCCTAAAAATTTACCCCAAAACAAAAATGGATGTTTAAAAAAAAGATACTTTCAACTGTCGTCACAGCCCCCATTGACCACCATGACTTTATTAATTTGCAGTTGAATTTTAAAGCAGTACTAGTACCAATACGCTGCAGCCATGTTGTTCAGGTACTGCCTAAGAATCCTTTCAATACCAGCGATCAAATCTAAAATAGGATTGGATTAAAGCAGATTAATTCATAAGCCTAATTTCTGCTACCCTCTAAAATCCGAGTTCTGTTCCTTACGACCGTTTCCACGTCACGCTAGCACGTTTTTCCTTCTCCTAGTGGCGATCTACAGTACTACTGCTCTCTAGAGGGAAACAAGCAAACCAACATGGCGGCGCCCGAAACATTCAGTAAGTTTGCAGGGAATCAGGCGAAGAAGGCAGCCTTTGGTTGTTCGGTTGTGCGTGCCATTTACACTAAACAGTTACCTCAGTTACCATACTCAGCACGGTTTCCAAGCGCAGTGGAAATCGGGCTTTAATCTTAAGAATCTGAACTGAAGCCATTTTTAAAAATCTGAATGGATACTAACCCTGCTTTTAATGCAATACTTAAATTAATTTTAAAAAATTACTGAAATATGACTGCAGACTAATTGTCTTCCAGATGTTGAGGGTTTGATTCCAGCCTTCTCTTGAAAAAAACAGTGCTGAGTTCAGTGCAAGAATCTTACTGATATCCCAGCTTCCTTTTTAGTTTAATCCAGCTGTTAGTCCAATGTTTATATCCAGGTGTTCCTGGTTTGTGTTGTGATAGGCTGGTGCATCTCTCCAGTGAGGGAACACTGCGTTCACCTTGTACAGTTCAGTTTAGTTCCATTGCTCCAATTCACATCACATCATCTCAACTTTATAGAGACGATTCAACCAGATCATCCAGTCAGATTGATTCAAAGTTTTCTATCTAAGGAAAAGCAGTTGATTGCATCGACTCATTGACTCTTAGACTCTGTCATTTTGTTAACACAGAGTATATGCAAAAAGATATTTTGTTCAGTACAGCTTTCATTTCTAAATTTTCATTTCTAAAGTGCAGCAGTGATAAAATGTAAACATAAGAGATATGATTTACAGTTTCCAACATTCAGCCCTTTTAAAAAACAAAACGAAAAACATTTTATTCAACAGTTGTCTCTAATGGAGGGAAGAGGAGCCCCCATGATCCTCTCTGCTGTTCTCACCTTCTTCCAGTCTGAGACGCTGCAGCCTCCACACCACACAGTGAGACAGCTGGTCAGAACGCTCTCTATGGTGCTTCTGTAGAAGGTGGTGAGGATCAGCAATTCCCTCACACCACACGTTTGCAGCGACAGTGGAGAGGAAAAACTCCCTTTGAACAGGAAGAAACCTCCAGCAGAACCAGGGTCAGTGTGAGCGGAGATAGAAGCAGACATAGAAAAAGAAGCAGAGACACAAAAGGCAACTGTCAAAAAGACCGGTCTCCAACATCTCGAAACAAAGATGTTGATGGCAGCAGCACAGCTGATATTTCTCTCCAGGATGGAGTCACAGCCAAACAGGAACAGACCAGATGGAGCTACTATGAGAAAAAGCAGAGAGAGCAGAATGTTAGAGATTGAACTAACAGATTCTGCAGAGTGGGAGAATAGAGATAGAATGAAGCAGAATTATGAAAAAGGGGTCCCTATGTCCTCCAGTAGACTAAGCCTATAGCAGCATAACCATAGAGATGGAATGAAGCTGAATGAATCCCTCCAGCAGTGTATAGGTCACCGGGCATTGGTTGGACAACCATGAACACTCTCAGCCACTTCATCATAAGGTCATCCAGCATTTTGGACTGACCATCCAAACTCAGTGATTGTTTGAGGCCTGAACCCTGGACTCTCACCGCACTGCAGCAGCATGCAGCCTCAGCAGGTTCTGCTTCCAAGGAGAGCCAGGAGGTAGACAGGATCAGGCTGAACAAGCCAAAGATTTCCGTTAGATTTCTGTCTAAATGGATTGTTGGAGTTGAGGTACACTCTCTTCCTTTTTCATCACATCTTGGCCTCACAGCTCTGACTCTGCCTGAGCCTCAGTAGCTTATTTGATGTGGAGTCGGACATCAGAGGCTGTCCTAGTCTGTCCAAATTCATCATGTTGAAGCACACCAAATATGGAAGAAATACAGACACTTAGATGGACATTCTACTAAAGCTAATTTATTTCAGTAACTCCCAACAGTAAATAGACCAGATTATGCAGATTCCTCCCAGTCAGATGTTTTCAGGCCATCTTTCCATCTTAAAGATGGAGAAACGTCGATTTAAAAAACAAGCTTCTTTACCGGGTTGTAAATCTTCTAGTTTCTTGCATTTTATGTTGTGAGAACTAAACTAAGCCAGGTTTCCTGGTAGAGACGGTAGTGATGGATATAATAGAAAACTATTATTAAGTTGAGTCTACTAATGACTGCGTTTAGCATTAGCAAACACTTAACCCAGCTCAAAAAATAGCAAATATGTCCTTTTTTATGACATCCAAGATGTTTGTTATTAATGTTTAAGGTCATTAAAACATTGCTCCGTTGCGATCAGGCTTTTAACTAGCAATGCGTACAGGCGTACATTGTATGACCTTTACTAAAAAATATTAGAAATTGTATTCCCTGTTTTTTGGGATGTATGGCTTCGGTACGCCCTCATTTTTTCCCTGGAAACTTTGTTCAACTGTTCAACGTTTCACAGGCAGCAGAAATGTTGAACTTTAGCTGCTGGACGCGCCACATCAACCAATCAGAGGAGCTGATGTGGGAGCTGGCAGGGAGACAGACACAGCACTGCTGATGCAGAGCGCTATGATCACTTCTCTAAAACAGTTTATTAACGCCCAAATTTACCTAAAATGTAGAAACCTGCCGGCAAAACGTTCACTTTTATTATCCTGGTGCCTGCAGTTTTTAGCACATACCTGAAAAACGCTAACATCTACATCCAGCCGCCACCAACAGAGGCGAGCGGGCCTGAGGCAGCTGCTGTTGGGGATTCCCAGTGACGCCCACCCGTATGTGGGGGTCTGAGCGGCTCCCACAGAGAAATATTTGAAGGCAGGATGGTAATCTGGATTAACTGACTGCACAGACCATGTTTTCAGGAGGACTTTCTCACTTCAACATAGATTCAAACTACTTTTTACCCACTGATCACAGAAAATACAGCAAAGCTGCTCTCTGCATTGAACACAGGAGCAGCAGAAGCATCAGACGCATCTGGACAAACTTTACTGGACTTCTGATCTTAATGTAGATAAGCAGCAGAAATGAAGCAGCAGAAGCTTCTTTGATGGCATTCAGTCTGAGAGTAGCATCAGACATACTGATTGTTTGAATTAACCTATGAAACATAATATTGTTCCTAAAAATGAGCTCCTGTCTTTCTTATGAAATTTCCACCTCTAGTCAAACACACATACTTCACATAATCAGGACTAAAATAGTAGGGATGCACAATATAATCGGCCCCCTATCGGTATCGGCCTGTATCGGCCTTAAAACTGAATATCGGATATTGGCCCCCCCACGATATTTAACCCGATATTTGATCAGCTTCTGAGTTTCTAAAGTCTAAAAAAATAAAAATACTACTTCTTCTTCTTCCTCAAAAGCTTCTATTTTACAGACTTAAAAACTTCTAAAGATGAGGGAAAATATTTATACATTAAAATATCCCAATATCTTCATATGCTGATATATTGCCATTTAAAAACACCATATCAATCTTTTTAACTAATGAAATATTGCTATATGTCATCGTTATGCTACGAAATCCCCCGAAAATCCACGAAATTTTGCCATCTTTTTATATGTTGATATATTGACGCGGTATCGATCTATTTTACTAACAAAATCTCACAAGAATTTGCAAAATATCACGAGAGTTTGTAACAGAACGATGAAATTTCACGAGATTTTTAAAGTAAAACAGATCGATACCGCGTTTTTAAAAATCAATTTGATATCAGCATATGAAAATATATTTGAGTATATTATTTTTCAAAGTGTCAGAAATGGATAACAAAACTGCTATTTTCAATGACTACTTATTTTTGTATGTTATCGGCTACATGAGTTTTAAAATATCGGCATATCGGATATCGGCCAAAATCCCAATATCGTGCATCCCTATAAAATAGTATTGGAACAAAGACAAAGTTTAGCTGCATTCCACCTCTAAATGCAGGAAATAATGTTTCAGAGTCTAAATTTCAACATTTTCTGGGGGAGGATCCCCCTCAACCCTCCTACACTGAGCAAAGGCTAAATATGTTATACACAAAGGTGAACACCCTTTGGAATATTCCTTGATAAAAGCCTGGTTGCAATCGGCATATTGCTATCATGCTAGCAGAAAGGTGCAGAGTGTGATGCATGGTAAAGTCCCGCCTTCATGCTTTACCAGACTTGATGATGCCCCGTTTATTCAGTCTGGCTGGCCGGGCTAAGGGTTCAGTGTTTAGTCTCCTCAGGAAAAGACGGGCTACTAAACTAACCCCCAGATTCCACATCCTCTGTCGCCTCTCCGCTCTCGTATGTCATGCAGAGTATTTGTCTGTCACTGTTCCACATCCACTGCTACTCCTCCGCACGTCTCCGTCCACGTACACCTTCTCCGTCCGTCACCGTCAAAATATGGAGCCGAGCTACTTTTTACTCCGCTCCGGTTCCGGCCAGGTCCAGATCCGCAATTTCAATCACACCAAACGGGAAAGAGAAGGTGGAAGAGATCCGGTTTGTCAAATTAAAATATAGTAACAACGCATCAGTCACTACAGATTAGAGCATAATTTGTATACATCTACGTCACAATATTTATTTTATACTGAGAGACTTCAAAGTTTAATCAAATCCATTCACAACAGCTTCAAAAAGCGCTTCTCAAAACTTCCAAACAAACTTCTTATCTCAGGCCTGGATGAAGAGATGCTGAGTTTGGAGGCAGAGAACAAACATAGTTCATCCAAACCATGGATGATCCTAGTTAGAAAAATCCACAACAAAAGGAAAATGTCTGGGCAGAAACTGCACACATGCTGGATGCTGGTGGGGATTTTTTAAATATGTCATAATAAATGAAGCGTTAATTTCTGCATGTTTTGCTCCCATGCGTTTAATAATAATATAGTGCATGCTCTCCTTGAGCTCCAAGCAAGTCAGAGCGGAGCAGGACGGGAGGAACAGGGAGGCTGTAGGCTTTGCTTTGGGCAGTTGGCCTGGAACGGGGCGGGGCAGTGACGGAGGATGTGGGATTTCGGGGTTAGGAGCAGCTTCAGAAAGACGCTCCCCCTTCAAACAGGGGGAAAAAGACAAAGCAAATCTAGGATGATTAAATGATGCAGAGATGTTTGTCTCAGCGGGTATTTCAGCAACCCTGTAGCAGCTCTGGCTGTTAGAAGGCTGTGTCGATGTGTTTCCAAGGGGACAAAACCCGCCTGCAGATATTGGCATAGAAAACAATCTGTTTCTGTTGGCAGAATTTGCTTTGAATTGTCTAAATTTACTGACACGCTTTGGACCCTCTGTTTCAGAATGCCTTCTTGAAGTATGATGCAGAGACGTGGGATCCTTCAGCAATGGGTTCATGGCCTCTATGAAGACTCGTCAAGGCATGGTGATCCTGAAGGAAGGGGCGACTGCCCCCGCTGCAGCTCCAGCAGCTGATCACTCGCCTGCCGGCCTCGTGACTTTGAGAACAGGAAAGTTCCAAAACGTCCCGGCTGTTCAGGGCATCTCTGTGTCCATTGGCGAAAAAAAGATTACCAAGAAAGTCAAGATGCTCCCCGCTAAGGAGGCCGCGGTGAAGATGGGCGAACTGAAGCATCCCAGCAGCCTAAACGTTCCTTCTGGCTTCATTCCACCTGACTGTATCTGCAAAGGTGTCAAAGTGACGCTAGACAACAACAGCATGTGGAACGAGTTCTTTAAATGCAGGACGGAGATGATTCTGACCAAACAAGGCAGCAGAATGTTCCCGTATCTCCGCTTCCACATCTCTGGCCTGCAGCCGTCCAGGAAGTACTCTCTGATGATGGACATTGAGCCTTTGGAAAACAGTCAGTACAAGTGGACGGGTGAGAGCTGGCAAGTCTGCAAAAAAACCGAGTGCTATGTAAAGAGCAAACCTTTTGTTCACCCAGATTCCCCAGCAACAGGTCAACACTGGATGCAGAGTCCAGTTTCCTTTTACAAACTGAAACTCACTAACGACGTCTCGGAGCAGGAGGGGAACATCTTCCTTCGTCCATTGCAGCGGTATTTACCGCAGCTCCACCTGGTCCCTGCAGACCGCGCTGGAGAAGACCTCAGGCTGAACGCTCCCAATGTCCTCACGTTCACTTTCCCCCAGACTGAATTTATGACCGTCACCTCCTACCAAAACCCCCAGTTTACTCAGCTGAAGGTTAACTACAACCCATTTGTGAAGAAACTGAAGGAGGACAAGGTCAACTCATGCGGCCTAAAACTGACGGGCACCTCGAGCAAAGACTTGAATGGTAACGAAGGCAAGGCGAACTCTGAGCTGCATCCTATGAAGAAGAACTTAAAGGTATTACTAGCAAACCATAAGCTGCGACAAAAAGCATCAGACTCCAAAGTTTCAGCACCAAAAGAGCCGCGGGAGGAATCTAGGAGCAGCGCTGCCGGCGTTCCGGAGGAATGTCCGAGGTAAGTCCTGTCCGGTTGATGGAGGTCATATGCATCAGAAACCATAAACCTAAGAGTAAACCGCTGCATCGGTCCTTTCAACTATGGGCGCTGACATTTGGTGGCGCCATCTTTGCGCAGTCCACAGCTCTGCTCTCTAATGTGTTGAACAGGAACAGAACTAATTAAATCAACTTTAACTTGCTGTTTATTTTCACATATTTGTTTTTTTTTTTTTTTTTTGCAGAAAACACAAATTGTTCATTGTATTTAAATATTCTCAGTGGGGTTAAGAGTAATAGAATATTGTGATAGGATGGGTGCATGTTGCAAAGCACAGCCACTGATACATTGTTATAATGTTTTATTGCTATATACACAAACAAATATATACAGGTGTACACAGATATATGTACATATATCTTTTGAAAGAGAGAGAGAGAAATGTATGTACACTACCGTTCAAAAGTTTGGGGCTACATTGAAATGTCCTTATTTTTGAAGGAAAAGCACTGTACTTTTCAATGAAGATAACTTTAAACTAGTCTTAACTTTAAGGAAATACACTCTATACGTTTCTAATGTGGTAAATGACTGTTCTAGCTGCAAATGTCTGGTTTTTGGTGCAATATCTCCATAGGTGTATAGAGGCCCATTTCCAGCAACTATCACTCCAGTGTTCTAATGGTACAATGTGTTTGCTCATTGGCTCAGAAGGCTAATTGGTGATTAGAAAACCCTTGTGCAATCCTGTTCACACATCTGAAAACAGTTTAGCTCGTTACAGAATCTACAAAACTGACCTTCCTTTGAGCAGATTGAGTTTCTGGAGTGTCACATTTGTGGGGTCAATTAAACGCTCAAAATGGCCAAAAAAAAAAAACTTTCATCTGAAACTCGACAGTCTATTCTTGTTCTTAGAAATGAAGGCTATTCCATGCAAGAAATTGCTAAAAAATTGAAGATTTCTTACAACGGTGTGCGCTACTCCCTTCAGAGGACAGCACAGGCTACTGCAGGTACTATTTAATGAAGATGCCAGTTGGGGACCTGTGAGGCGTCTGTTTCTTGAAATAGAGACTCTAATGTACTTATCTTCTTGCTCAGTTGTGCAACGCAGCCTCCCACTTCTTTTTCTACTCTGGTTAGAGCCTGTTTGTGCTTTCCTCTGAAGGGAATACTACACACCGTTCTTCTGTTCTGCTTAAACCAGCCAATCAAAGCCATGGGAAGACTAGCCTGCTAACAGAAACAAACTGAACATCAGTTCGAGTCCTAAAATGTTCCTTCTTAATATCTGTTGGTGTTTTGATGTTCCACAAACGCCCTCTGACCGTCATCTGTCATCCTGTAGAGTCATGCTGCTCGTCTGGATTAGATTAGATCTTCTTTTAATGAAGTAGGTAGATCCATCCCCTATTTCCTCAGTCCTCATTCCAAATTATTACTAATTCAAATATGTCTGCCATGGACCCTTCTTTGTACAGATTCTTGTACCCATAAGGGGGTTTGGGGGATTTCAGACCCCAAAAAAAAGGTGAAATCTTCCCACACACATTCCAATCCTGACCAGTTGTACGGCTGTCCTGGAAAAATGCTGTAGAAATGCAGCGAGGATCCAAGAGGTGCGGCTGCAGGTGCAGAGTGATGTCATGTTCTAACAGAACAGTTCTGGTGGCGGATGAAGTGAGCCGTATTCAGCCGTCCCTCTGGTTTGTTCCCAGCATCCCTGCAGAGTCTGGCCCTGATCCTGAGGAGAACCCCGTCTGTTTCCAGACACCCACCTGCTTTCTGTTCAACGTTACTCTTTACTTTTCTACGTAAAGCTTTCCTTGTGTTTAGATCAGGGGGGGAAAAAAGTACATTCCTGTTTGAAAAAATAGTTTAAAGGAACAGTCCGGTCAGCAGGGAATAATCAACAGATCATTATTTATACCTAAAACTAATACATTCACTGTGATTTCATTAATTTAGCGTTAATCAGTAAATAAAATAAAAATAATAATTTTCATTGCAATCACTGAGTCTGGGAGCGGCCATTTTTGCCCAAATATAGTAACCCCTCCGTCCTGCCATCTTCTGGCAGTGACGTCACGGTGCGGTAAGCCTAGCGCCATTCTCCCCGCTTTACAAGCAAAATCAATGGGAACTACTAGACACATCTGCAATCAACAACAATTATTGAAGATTTCCAGAGGACTTCACCATTGAAATTCACCAGAGCTATAGTTAAACTGACAATGCCCACGTGCATGGCAGCTGGATGTTGGAATACATCGGGTAAAAGGGAACAAAAAAAGAGTTATTTAACCTTTCCGATTCCTGATCCTCCACGGACGGGTTCGTCGTTGGATTGCCAACTGGAAGAGGGATGATTTGCCGTTTAACTTCTGGCCAGAGAAAAAACACGTAATATGTAGCCAACATTTGGAAGAAGAATGTTTTCAAGGTGACTTGGATAATAGCGCGTTGTGACAAACACCAGATACAGCACTGGGACGTCACAAACCAGTAGGTGGTAGTAGAGTTATTTGACAAACATGGATGCCTCCAGTAAAGCACATTCAAATGAAAATTACTCTGAATTAAAAACACTGATCATTTATTGAACAGTATGGAATAATTTCAGATTTAAAGTACTTTCAGAAGTTTGAATTCTGAATATGAGCGGACCTTTCCTTTAAGATCCCAGCAGTGAATGGGATAGTTATCTAATTTATACTTTTGGTCTCTCCTATTTAATGGGTTGACTTCATGTTGGCTGCAGCAAACCTTAAACCATTAATCTCAGTGCTGGTTGAGCTTTTAGTTCCTGCTTTAATCTTATCTTGACTTTTTTCCAGCTTGCTTTAAAAGAGAACCTGGTATTCTAGATCAGAGATGGGGGATCTGGAACCAACACGTCGTCTCTATGTCGGGTGTTTGTTCTGCCCAATCACTGAACCAGGTGACATGTTGGCTCCAGGTCCCCCATCTCTGATCTGGAATATTGCATTTGCTCTTGTTGTTTATTTTACTCATTGGTTAATATTAATTACCCTGATGTTGTTAATAAATATTTTAAAACACATTAATACTTCATGAATACTTCATGTCACTAATGGTTTTAGTGGAATCTGAGTTTATGGCTGCATTAAAGGACCTCAGGCAGTTTTCTGCTTGATCACTATTAACCCTGAAATGCCAAATGTATCGTATTTGATACATACAGTTTCTGAAATGTTTTGCATCAGACACCTTTTGCATAATTTAATGGTAAAAACTTTGCTCAAAATCCTATTGTACATAATCAGATATACCTGATAACAGCCAGTAGAAGACTACACAAAAAATAATCTTGACTTATCGCATAGTAATAAATTATTAATATCAAAAATGTATTTCTGTTTTTTCTTTTTACATATTTTGTTAAAAGGCCAAATAAGGACTTCAAACAAAAAAAAAAAAGTAATTTTCTGTTTTGATTTATTCTTGGATCGGGCTTTAAAGGGTTAAGGCTCTGACATCACTACTACCAGCATTTTATAAAAAAAAAAAAATATCCTGTATTTGGTCAAATCTCTGTCAAAAGGTTAAAAACAGAAATTTAAACTGGTGTTAATGCTTTTATCAGACCGTAATAATCATGTTTGCAGCTCTGATCATCAATCCATCCATGACAATCCACTGGACCTTGGTTCCAAGTTTGACGACGTTTCTCTTCCCATCCAGGAAGCGCTGAGTTCCAGGTTTTATCCAGTAGCCCAACAAAGCCTTGTTTTTTGCTTAGAAATTTTGCAAATAAAAACAGACGAACGGATCCACCCCTTTGGAATGGGAGTCGCTTGTGTTGTTTGGTAGCCTGCAAGGCCCCATACCTGTCTATATCTCTGAAAGGGGGGTCATTAGAGGGAATTGTTGGCCTGTCTGAATAGGTTTGGTTTCTAAACCAAAACAGGGCTTTGTTGGTCTACTGTATAAAGCCTGGAACTTGACGCTATTTCAGACATTTTGAATTGAAAAAGCCTCCTGGATTGGAGGAGAAACGTCTTCAAACTTGGAAACTAAGTCCAGTAGATTGTTTTTGAGCTTTTTTGAATGACTCTGACCTGGATGACAGGTTAAACAGCCTGTTTTGATCTAAACTGGTCCCCTTTGTCTCTGTTGTTATTGGCCCTTGAATCCTTACTGGTCCCAGTTGGAGAATTTTGACCCCAGCAGCAGCGTCTGATAAGAGGATAAGAGTGAATTGGTGTCACTAATGAGTCGTTTTCCTGTGCTTTCCTTCGGCAGAAGTTCACGCCCAGCGCCCAAATTAATTTCTGAGCTCATCTGCGAGGCTCATGTTTCCCTGCAGAGGTGTAGGGTGGAGCAAAGCGGCAGCGGCAGCTTCTCCTGTGGAGCAGCGCCAGGTAACACTACTTCGACCACAATGACTGACAGGAACAGGAGCGTCGTTCACAGGAACAACGGATCTGTCACTACATCCGGGAGGAAAATGGCAGCTGCTGAAACAGCTGGAAAGGTTAAAAGTGACGAGCGTCTTTCTAGCTCATGTGACAGGACAGCGGCTGCTCCTCCATTAGAGCCGCTTCCCTCGAACAAACCGGACCACCAGCGTGATGCAGGCGCCTCTTCGGACGCTGAGAAGCAACAGAAACGGCCGACTCGGCTGCCCCTGCCAGCACTCGCACTTTTTTTAAAGCAGCATTCAGCAAAGTCTAAGAAGGCGAAGAACAAAGCGGACTCTGTCCCCCGGACGTCTCAGCCGGAGTCCTCTGCCACGTCTCAACAGAGAGACATCATGGAGGTCAGCAGAGAGGACATTCTGCCAGAGGAGAGGGGTTTAGATGGTCCAGGTGGGACTCCTCCCCACCCCTCCACTCCAGACATGCTCCCTGGTTCAGATCCCTTGGTCTCCCCTTCTGAAAGTTTAAGCTTAGGGCCCCCTGATCCTAACGAAGGGCCAATGATGTCCAACCCTGAGAAAAGCCGTGGCCCCGTTCAGGCGTCCGCACCGGCTGTGTCAGCATGTTCTACCTCTGCATCATCGGACCTGTCCTTACCTATCAGTACTACTCTGTCTCTCCCAGACTCCCCCAGAGCAGCAGGAGAGCCTTCAACACTACCTTCAAGCTCTCGCTCCGTTAAGCTTGACTCTGTCCTTCCAGACCCTCAGTGTTCCTCCTTTGACTTTGACCCTCTGTCCCCTGCCAGCTCTGCAGAATCTTTACCTCCTCTCCCAGCCTCCTTAGCTTTAGAGCTGGACTCTTCGTCGTCTGCTGAAGAAGAACCTTCCAGCAGGAACTCCTCTGTCTTCAAATGGCACACAGTATTACCTCTGTCTGAGGCGTATTCACGCTCTCCTTTCCCAGCTTTGGAGCCCCCTCAGCAGTCCACTCCGTTAATGTCTGTCTCCCCTCCTCTGTTTTCCTGCCTTCCGGAGACACAGAGCCAAACTCCTTCACCGTCGAACCCTCCTAAAGAGCCCCTCCCATCGTTTTCAGAGGGCGAACAGTCTCTGCCTTTCCCTGCAGAGCTCTCCCCCCTCGCCCTACAGCTCTCCCTTTCGCCGACCTTCTCCTCTTTGGACGAGGACGGCTTGTCCCCTACGACTTCCCTCTCAGATTTGGTGCACTTTTTCTCCACCGACGATGACATGGGAGTGGAGTTTTCCAACCCTGAGGCGGTGGCCGCTCCCGTTCAGGCTCCGCCAGCGTCAGAACCGCCACAGCCCTCTGCGCCGGTGCAGGCGGCCTCCTGCAGCAGGTCCTGCAAGAGGAAGAAGTCGTCCAGGACAACCCAGCTGGACCGGTTGGAGGTGGGTGAGGATGAGGACGACTACAGAAGCAAGCAGCCCAAGGTGGAGGAAGTGGAGGAGCAGCTTTTTATCTCGTTCACCTCTAAGGTAAAATCATCTTAGTCCGTCATAATCACTGTTTAGGCGCCAAGTAGTGGACTTCCCACAATGCACCTTGAAAAGAAGTGATCATCTATGGTCACTAGACGAGCAGATATATCCCGGAATTCACTACATAGTCCCCGCTCTATATGGTGATGGAGGGGTCAGAGGTCAACCCCTAAATGCCTCCATCACTTTATAGAGCGGGGACTATATTAGGGGCGTAAATCACATCCATCATGGCGATTCAATTCAGTATCGATTTCCTGACCCAACGATTCGATTATTTTCATACTGAAAATACGATTTGATTCGATTAATTGGTTCATTTTTATTTTTTTTACCTCACAGGCTAGAAAATGTTTCAAATTTGAAATAAATCAATAAAAAGCTGTAATATCGTTATGCATTTTATTTGAGAAACAACAGAGGGCATAGGGCATTGAGGAATATTTTTCAGATGGAACCACTATTTTAAATGTCACCATGACTGATTTATAGGAGATTAAACAAAAGAAAAAAATTTAAATATATAGCCTGGCCACATTTATTTCTAAAATAAACCCTGAAAAACACCATGAAAGCGCTTTAGAAACTCTGGATGAACCCTCAGACTTCATAGATCCACATCTTGAAAAGCTGAGAGGAGCTCCAGACCACTAGAGGGTGACTGTTGCTTACCTTTATGGGACCAGGGCTGTAGTAATGGCCTCTGGCAGCATCTGCTTGTGTTTTCACTGAAGGCCTGGGTGCCTGTAGGCTGGTGATGGTCTCCCCCTAGTGGCTGGGAGGTAAATATTTGCTTGTAGAGTAAAATGTTTCTGGAAGTTTAAAAATGCAAAGATTAAAGCAGTGAAATTGTTTCAGGAGGCCCTTAAGCTGCACACTGCTGAGTCATCTGAAGAGCAGCTACCCAACTCTCCGCCGGTCCCAGAGCCCCCACCTGCTGAAGAACCGGAGCTGCGCAGCACAGGTAGCCTCAGGTTGTTTCTGACTGGATCTCAGTGGTTCTGTTGCTCAGCTTCACTGACCGTCCTCTGCAGATGGTCTTAGACGTTAGGCGGGGTTTTAGGTGAACCTTTTCCTCATCAGCAGGGAGTCTGGAGGAGAGGATTGCGGTCTGTGAGGAGACGATTCTCAGAGACCTGAAGCTGATGAAACACAGGCAGGTCATCCACCCTGTGCTGCAGGAAGGTAAGCATCGCTGACCTAAAGCCAGCACCACACAGAGCGCTCTGAGATGACGTTTCCTCCTGCTGTTTATGGCCCAGTTGGACTGAAGATGACCCTCCTGGATCCAGCTCTGTCCATCGACCTGCAGTACCTGGGAGTCCGTCTTCCCATCCCACCCCCAGGAGCGATGGAGCCGCAAACGCAGACGGAGCCGACTCCTCAGGGTAGGCGTGTTTACGGACTCTGTAAGTTTCTGTGTTTCATCAGATGTACAGATCTGCTGATTGCCTTCTGTTCATCTGTTCTCCTCAGGGATCTTTGCTTCATTTCAGTCCAGAACAGGAAAAACCACTGACGTGACCCAGATTAAAGGCTGGAAGGAGAAATTCCCCCCGCCGGAGGCTGAATCCCCTGCAGCTCCCAAACTTGAAGGTGCTTCACAGGCTTTAGGTCTTCACTGGTAACATCAGACCTCCTGAACTCGTCCGTCATCTCTGCAAACATGGGCGAGTTTCAGGAGGATCTGACGGAGCAACTCTAACCACGGAAATATCAGCTGCATGCATGTAGTAAATCGATTCAGTTCGATGGACGAAGAGATTCTGTCAGCATAAGATGTCAAATTCTGCTGCAGATTCTTAGTAGAATTAAGATCGAAACTTTAATTAGACTGTTCAGGTGAATATGTGACCATGCTTTGATCTAAACCAGTGGTTCTTAACCTTTTTCACCCAACCCACCAGTTTCATTTGTGCATTCACTGAAACCTTCTCTAGTGATGAAAAAAAAAATTTTTTGTTTCAAATTAAAGGCATAGATATGTTTTTAAACCGGCCACACATGAACATCAACTGGCTCAAAGAACAAAGCCAAACCAGTGCATGAACTCGCAGCAAACTACAGTATTATTTCATTCTCTGACAAGTGCTTTTCTCTTGTCATCTTCACAGCAAAGTTCCTTTTCTTGCTTTTTATGTCCACAAAATCCTCAAAGGATTGCTCGTCAGCTTGTTGAGGCTCAAAATGGTTGAATTCTCTTAAAGGGAAATGCCGTTTTTTATGTTTTTTTTACATTGGGCCCTTGATTTTACGTTATTACATCATGTTCTACTCACCCATATGAGTTTTGTGTCATTTGGAGCCGTTCTGAAGATATTCCGTTAGGTTATATCCAAGTAACGTCTTCCTATGGGCGACGACTTGAAGGCACAAACTAAACTAGTTTATTCTTTATGGTACGCCAGCATTCATAACATGTAGACGAATCATTGTCCCCGTACGGAGCCAATGAAAAGGGACATGGAGGGGAAAAAAGAACTTTTGCGAGATCCCGCAATACTTTTGCAAGATCCCGCAATAGTTTTGCGAGATCTTGCAATACTTTTACGAGATCCCGCAATACTTTTGCGAGATCTCGCAAAATTAAATTTTTTCCTTCCATGTCCCTTTAGGGGCTCCGTATCCCCCAGACATCCTCGGTTATATTTTTTATATTTATATCTTTTAAAAACAAAGCGGCGCGTTTATGATGTCATCTACGCGCGCCGGCTACCATTCAATCATCCTGTCCGCTGAACTGCTGCTAGTTTTACTCGCATGCCTGGAAGTTGTCTAGTGCTACTACCACAGATGATCTCGCTCTCTAAATGTAATTGAACAAATCAGATTAGCTAGAATGAATAGAAGGGGTAGAGCGTAGCCGCCTGTGACCCGGGCTGCCTGTCGCAACTCAAGTCTGGCACGCAGATGATGTCATACACACTCCGCTTTTTTTTTTGTTAAAGATATAAAAATATAATCGGGGATGTCTGGGGGACAGTGATTCGCCTACATGTGATGAATGCTGGCGTACCATAAAGAATAAATTATGAACAGTTTAGTTTGTGCCTTCAAGTTGTTGCCCAAAGGACGACGTTACTTGGATATAACCTAATGGAATATCTTCAGAACGGCTCCAAATGACACTAAACTCATATGGATGAGTAGAACATGATGTAATAACGTAAAATCAAGGGCCCAATGTAAAAAAAAAAAAAGAAACCTGCATTTTCCTTTAAGACAAAAAAAAAATCATGACACTGAAGACTATTCTCTTTATTTGTCCACCAGAGGGGGGAAAAACCATTTGACAAGTCGAATTCACATGCTGTCCAAAAATAACACCATACAGCGCTCATCATTGTCACAAAAGTCTCAAAGCATTTTCCCCCAAACCCTCAACCCTCTTAAATTTTATTTATACCTTCTTTGTAACATTGTGTGAATGCATGTGTGCAACTGAGTGCTATATGGAAATCTACCTGGAAAATGTGTGTGAGGTGTTTGGGCATGATAGCCTGATAAGGAAAAAGATGTTATTCCCAAGATTCCCTGGCTTTTAAACTGCTTATTACTAATTATGATTTTTATTTGATTTTTATCTAAACATTTATTGAACAATGATTTCACACCAAACAGTTAAAAAACTCAGGTCATCAGCACATTATTATTGTTATTACAATAGCAGCTTGTTAGATTTTAGCTCTCATGAGTCAGAAATGATGCACAACACACTATTAAAACCCACAGTTTTAAAAAAAAACCTTCAAATCCTCAGTGGCTCTATGGAAGCAAAACTCCAGCCTCAACCTGGCCTTGATGTTCCACTTCCTTAGAGCCACCGCATCAAGCTGAGGTCCTTCCTGCAGTTTGTCCCTTCCAGTCAGGTAGATAGCCGTTTTGGCTTCAGAGATTAAATAATTTAAATTTCTGGATTTGAAAGCAGTGGCTCGGCTGTGACGTACACCCGTGATAAAAACGGAATGAGTAAAAACAAAACTAAAAAGGCTTAAAACGTTGATTTAAAAAATAAAAAAAAACAGTCAGTCGTACACAATCCATAAAAACGTGAAACACACACTCAGGCAATCTGCAAAAAGGACAAAAAAACCTCAGGACTGATGACTGATAAAAACGAGTTTGAAGCATGAAGTATCCTCCATTGAAGGTCGCCAGTCCGTTTTTTGATCGGAGGCTTGTAAAGAGTCCTCCACTGAGGTTTTTGTCCTCCGAATTTGTCCATCCAAACACTTGTTGCTCTGTTGTGGAGAATTGTCTTGTTTAGAACTTTAGAAACAATTTTTGTATAATGTTTTTGGGTCCGTCTTGCACAGATCCACCTTCGTCGTCACATTTTGTAGCAGAGGACCACTGTCCTCCTCAAAGATCCATATAAACGTCTGGGAACGGGTCACTCGTGTCAGGCGCTCGCTTTCCGGTGACTAAAACTGTAGGAGTCTTGTTACTAATTATAGAAATGGAGGCCATTTTACTGAGCCACAAATAAGACTCAAATATCATAACTTCTGCAAGATTAACTGTTTTTAGGAAGTGATTTCAACTGTATGGTTGATTTAGATGGAAATCATTTAGAGCCACATTTACACTCGAGGAGGATAAAGATCTAAACATGGATTAACAAGGAAGTTTGGTTTTAGGAAGTGTGTTCATAGCTAGATTTAGACCTAAGAGCTCAAACTAGCGCTTTAATGCTGTTGTCTTAAATGACGGTTGCTTTAAAAAAAGGTTTTTCATGTTTTTGGGAACGATGGAGAACCATAAAGTCTCAGTTTATGTTGGGATGTTAGTAAAATTAAAATCCAGCTGTTTTGTAATCAACACACACAATGATACAGGAGAAATGGTCTAATCTATTGAAGAATTAGAGGCTGATATCGTGGAGTGTTTTTTAATCGGCAGGAAATCGAGGCCATTTTTTGGTCCTCAAATGAAAAAACAACAAAAACTTGACAGTCTAGGCGCAGACCTGCACTGTGAAGTTCTCCTCTGCTGTCAGAACCAGAAGTTTATTTGAAGTATTTCAAAGTAAAAGTGAATTAAAATAAAAGCTAGTATATTGGGAATATTTTACATTCCGTCTTCATTTCCTGGGTCTCCATAATAGAATTTTTTTGTCTATTCATGTGTTTATTTATAATTTGTTTCCAATTCAACTTAAAGGAATAGTACACCCAAAACATGATTAGCCTTCATTTTCTACTCACCCCCATGCTGAACAACACTCTGGAGTACTTTTTTGATATCTCAAATGCATCTGGAGATCTGGGAGGCTTCTTGCTGTCTGCTGACATTCAAATAATGGAGGTCTATGGTGACCGAGACAGAAAGGTCCATAAAAGTCCACAAAAAACGTGTCAGTATTCCTCCATACTGCTCGTCCAATGTATTCCAAGTGTCCTGAGTGGGTAGCGTCCATAATTTACTCGAAACAAAGTCATTTAGAATGTTTTTAGAGCATAAACAGTAGTGCCTCGGGCACCATAGACCTCCATTATTTGAATGTCAGCAGACAACAAGAAGCCTCCCAGATCTCCAGATGCATTTGAGATATCAAAAAAGTACTCCAGAGTGTTGTTCAGCATGGGGGTGAGTAGAAAATGAAGGCTAATCATGTTTTGGGTGTACTATTCCTTTAAGTGTAAAAAAAACGCAAGAAAATGTCAAAATAACAAAATGAACTCAGTTCTTTTATAAAGTCGTCTCTACTGTGTATTTGCCAGTATTATATTCTATTTTCTTTGTTCTTTTAGTATTGTTTGTGCTGTTGGACCACATAGATTAACCAATGGAGGCTGGGATTTCATATTAACTAAGCTTTGGGTTCTCAGTGAATTACTGAATACCTCGATAAGGACCACAATAGACAATAACTTCAGTTTACTTTTCCACGACACCTGAGAAAACAGACATGAAACAAACTTTCAAATGTCTATTTTATTTAATTTATGGTGAAAAAAGCAGATTTCCCAGCATGACGCAGCGTTTAACTTTAGGTAGAACTCCAGCAGGAGAAACATCCGTCTGTAAGAGACAGATCATGTTGGAATACGTGAAAGAAAATCAACCAAAAATTATAAGAAAACAAGATTTTCTTGGTCTTGAAGTGGTGAGACAGCAGATCTAAGTGAGCTCTCACCTCACAAAAAGAAAATGTCTTCTAATGAAATCTGGCAGCTCATACTAACTATTCCTGAATGCTTTAATTAAAACGTTTGGATCCATCTTCCAGTCCTGACAGTGCAGGAGCTCCCACTGTGCAGGGTCGCCGCCAGACGCCTCTCAAAGTAACGCCTCTCAACTCATTCAATGTGTTCGTTCAGAAGATGAAGTTGACCGAAGCAACTGATCTGCAGAAAAGAGCTGTGGATGTTTTTTCTAACCTGTATGTCAGTGAGTTTAAAGACGACTCGCCGATAACTTAAGAACTAGCCAGAACTCCAGAGCCTCCATGGTCCTCTCCTTCTCAGACTTATGCTCTCCTCCTCCTTCTGTCAGTCTAGGTGGGCCTCTATGGATTAGCGGGTGGTCCGCCCTCTCTATGTCCAGATGATGGACCAATCAGTCTTTCATTCAGGTCAGATGTGTTTAAAACATGGAGGACCAGGGTTAGGAAACCCTGTTCTAGAACCAGAACTGCTGCAGTGAGCGACAGACCTAGGGCTGGTTGCTGAGCTGAGACTTTCTGAGGGCCGCTAGGCAAATGCAGAGGAACCGTTTTAAAGATCAGATTCTAATATAGAAATACATTTATAGAGCCTTCATCACTGTCAACATCCATCCCATAATAATTCAGTATAAAACACTGATGAAACATTGAAGGAACAGAACATAGAAAGGTAAAGACCTTTGACCCGTCTTCTGTTTCGCCTGCAGCTGCTGGGCCAGGTTCAGATGTGCAGAAGAAGAACCTGTCTGCGTTCTGCAGCGACATGCTGGACGAGTATCTGGAGTCTGAGGGGAAGCTGATCGACGAGCGAGCCTCCACCTTCTCCCAGCTGCCGGTGGAGGCACCGCCCTTCCAGCTCCCGCTCAGCGGCGCCAGCTACGTCCGGACCCTGGATCACGTCCTGAAGAAGGCCACAGCTGGCACCCCCGCCTCAGACATCATATCTGGGTTCATCCCCCCATCCAAGAGGTCCAGACTGAAGAAGATCCCGAACTGCAGGAAGACGGCCAGGAAGCGGAGACGTCCCAGATGGACTAGATTCAGAGCATCTCCTGCAACTCCTCAGCGGCCAGCAGCTGGACCAGTCCAGGATGCTGGCCGGCCCACAGAACCTCAGAACCCACCCACTCCTAAAAAGAGGAGGCTTAAACCCAGAACCTCGTCTCGGACCCTGGGAGCTCCAGGGTTTACGCACGTGTCTGAGGACATGGCTCCGCTGGAGTCCGACTCTGAGCTGAGGACAGACTCTGGGCCGAACCAACTGTCTGATCGGACCGGGGAACCCGGTGGGAAAGAGAAAAGGGCCTCTGGGACCCGGGCCCTAGCCAGGCTGAAGGAGCTGGAGGACGGCGTGGCTTGGGAGGGCTCCTTTCAGACCAGCATCACAGAGGAGAGGGCAACAATCGCCCTGATGTCCCTCTTCACCCAGACTATGAGTTCTTCATTCACTGCAGACCGGATCAGAACCATCCTGCCCTTAGCTAGGAAGGTAAGTCAACCCTGAACAGTGGAGTCAGGAATTACATCTCATTTATAAAGCATCAATCAAAGCCGTTTCATGCTATGTTTCCAAGAGAAACGGGTCTGAACACGATTCTTTCAGAAAGGGTCTCTATGGTTGTGCCTCTACACGCTGACACATAATAATAATTCAACTTTATTAAGCTGGAACAGGGAAAGGAGCAGCTGGGACTAGAAGGGACCAGTTGGGACTAGAAGGGACCAGTTGGGACTAGAAGGGACCAGTTGGGACTAGAAGGGACCAGTTGGGACCAGAAGGGACCAGTTGGGACCAGAAGGGACCACCTGGAACAGGGAAGTGACCAGTTGTGACCAGAAGGGACCACCTGGAACAGGGAAGGGACCAGTTGGGACTAGAAGGGACCAAAAAGGACCCGTTGGGACCAGAAGGGACCAAAAAGGACCAGTTGGGACCAGAAGGGACCAACTGGAACAGGGAAGGGACCAGCTGGGACCAGAAAGGACCAGCTTGAACAGGGAAGGGACCAGTTGGGACCGGAAGGGACCAGCTGGAACGGGGAAGGGACCAGTTGGAACGGGGAAGGGACCAGTTGGAACGGGGAAGGGACCAGTTGGAACCAGCGGGGACTAGCGAAGACCCTGCTGGTGGGGCCAGCTTGGAACAGACTCTCTGCTCCCTCCTCACTGTTTTCTCTTCCCCCCTCACTGTTTTCTGCTCCCCCACAGGGTTTCGTGAGAGAAGACCCCACGGCTTCCATCCGGCTGAAGCAGAGGCCGGCTCTGCAGTGCCTGAATGAGTTCTGCAGGCTGGGCTGCGTCTGCCTCAGTCTGTCTCACTGCTTCAGAGCCAGCCACTGCGGCCGCCCTGCCTGCATGCTGGGCTGCAGCTGCCTCAAGCAGAAGGTGGTAATCCTCAGGAACATGGACAGCTCTGCGTCTGACTCCGCCTCCTCGCCTTCTAAAACCAAGAAGAAGAAGAACAGCAAGAGGGTGATAATGAAGATGGCGTACGGTAGGTGTTTAACTCCTGCATCAGATCAGAATGTGGAGGCATCAGTTTTCAATAGAACCTTCTGACCTGCAGTCTTGAAGGAGGCCGACACGGCTGCTAGTCCTGCGGAGCAGATCCGGACCCTGTGGAGGAGGAATGCCCACGGCCCCGATTCAGAGCCCGTCCACATGCCTGATGTGGCCCCCGTCCTGCGTCCAGTTGTAAATACCCCCCAGCATAGATACCTGCATGCTGCTAATGAATCCCTGGGCTGACCTGAACGCTGTGATGCTGTTTGCAGGTGAGAAGGAAGCGTCCCAGCAGCTGTGCCAGAGTCCGAGGCTTCTTGGGAAGGAAGCAGAAGGTATGGATGCTGGTAGCTCACACCAGGTTCACAACATGACCCGACCCAATGCAGCGCTCAGCTCTCAGACCATCCCCAACGTCATTAGCTTCAGCCGAGTCTCTGGTCCCACTGATCTGGACCGGCCCCTTAAGAAGGGGGAGGTCATCTTTCTCCCTCCTCCTGATCCGCCCTTAGAACATCCTGGTGTTTCCATGGATCATAGCGCACGGAACAACTATTGATTGCTGATTCCCATCCAACCAGATGGCTATCATCAGTACCTTCGTGCTGTCCACCACCAGGTCCACACCCCAGCTCTGCTTCTGGTCCGTGTGCTTTATCTGAACCGCTCTTTCCCCTTTCGCCCCTTTCCACCACCCTCTATAAACCGATCTGTGCCGAGTCGGTTACTTACGACAGTTTCCACGTCATACTAGCATGGTTCCTCGCCTCCTAGTGGCGATCTCCAGTATTACTGCTCTCTAGAGGCAAACAAGCAAACATGGCGGCACCCGCAACATTCAGTAAGTTTGAGGAGATTCAGGCGAAGAAGGCAGCCTTTGATTTAGTTGACAGAGTCGGGTTTTGGGAAGTAGATACAACAAACGATAGTCTAATCAGGGCTTCCAGATGCAGAAAACAACGACAGACACTAAGGTTCCTCATACCGCTAAGTAGAATCATCACAGGAAATCATGTGGCACGGTAAGGAAGCTAGCTGGGTTCCCACGGGTCCTTAAAAAGTCTTAAAAGGCATTGAATTCTTCAAAATAAAACTAAGGCCTTAATTGGTATTAAAATGTCTTAAATCAGTCTTTCATTGGTCTTAATTTTTAAAACATCATAAACACCTCCACAGAAACACCCAGGAGGTGATCCAGATCTAACCAGATTATCCTCCTTTTAAAACCAGTTAAGATTGTTGTCCATCTCTGTCTGCGCTCCACAGACTTTTTTTAAAACACCTCCATGTTGTGATTTAGACAAACTTTTACCCCATTATTCTTTATGATTTCTATCTGTGAAAGGTGCAATAAAACTGTAAACTACCCGGTTACCAGAATGTTCTTAGACACAGACCGATGTGACCCCTGCAGCCGGCAGGTGAGATTAAATGATTTATGTAAACTATCAAAACAGCAACACAGTAAATGAAGCCTCCATGCTGCCAGAGACCAGGGTTGATGGTTCTGGAGTGTCTAACCTGCCGGTGACTTCATCCAACAGGAGGGATCCAGGAAGCTGACATTAATCAGGCATGAAGCTCCTAAACTCCCCAGACATGGACAGCGGAGCAGCACTGATGTGGACCCCCCCAGACCCTGTTCTGGTAGGTTCTGATTTCCAGCAGCCAGCTCTGCTTTCAGGCTCTGAGCCAAACGGAGGGTTTTCTGTTTCCTCGGCTGCAGACGCAGACCCGGCACCTGGCTCTGACCCCCCCAGCCCGTCAGAGGAGCGGCACCCCAAACCCTCGAAGCGTCTCCTCATAGTGGCTGACTGCAAGTGGGGGGGCGACTCTGAGCGCAGCTACGTGTTGAAGAAGCTATGTGAGGCCATGGCTCTGGACAACCTGGACAGACCTTTCTGGATCAGAAAGTACCTCATCACTCCAGTCGATCAGACGGTGGATGACAGCAGTGGGAACCGGTGCATCCAGTACAAGGTCCACATCTCCACCCCCTTAGTGAAGGAAAAAGCTCCGCCCACAGGAAATCCAGGCTCACATGGAGGAGAGCAGGCAGTCAGAGCAGCAGCTGAACATGGACTGGAGGGCAGCGATGGGAGCACTGGTTCTGATCCGGTATGGTTCTGTTAGTTTTATCATCTAAAGAAGGGATGTCAGTGTCAAAAACCCAAGGCCAAAAAAACTATCTGCTTCAAGCTGAGGGCTGGACTGGTTAAATGTTTTTTAAAACATATTGAAATTAACATAGCCTATTGAACCAAGACCTAACACATTATTTAATCATTTTAACTGATTTTAAATTTTATTTCAGTTTAGTATGGGAAAAAAGTCTGAATTCTGACTTTAATCTCAGAATTCTAACTTTTTTTCTCAGAATTCTAACTTTTTTCTCTCAGAATTCTGACTTTTTTCTTAGAATTCTGACAAATAACAAACATGTTAGCATCAAGCCATAGCCATGTCTGTTTTAGAGACTAGCTCCCTTGTTTTAATGACCTTCTGCTCCTCTATTAATGAGGGGACCTCTCGGGTGTAAAAAGTTGCCTAATTCCGTCCTAATTCCATGTCACTGGCCCTCTCAAACAACTCACATCTTTGTAAGGGAAGCTAAGTGCTCCCACATCTCTTCTTTCATGGTGCCCATCTACATTAAGATCCAAAATTCTGAGATTAAAGTCAAAATTCTGAGATTGAAGTCAGAATTCTGACTTTTTCCCCATACTAAATTGAAATAAAATTTTAAAATCAGTTTTTCCCAGTGGCCCTAATCCTCTTCCGTACTAATAAGACAAAATAACACAGAAATAATAAAGATAAGTCTGTGAATGTCTCCTGATTCCAGTGAACAGAGATCTAGATCTATCATTGATAGACAGGCTATGAACATGCGCGAAAACAATACTTTGTTTTTCTTATTATTCTTTTGTCTGTTTCCGGCGGGGGGTACCTTTGAATATTTTTGTGTTTGCGTACATATTGCATATTCTAAAATTAAACAGCCTGACTGCTATGAGCATGTCTGGTGATGATGTCACACAATCGAGAGAATGGAAAATATCTATTTCTTCCAGAAAAGTCTTCAATATTTTCTATACGATGTAGTTTAACATTCTTTAAGGATTTAAGTATATAACTCAGTATTTTCATTACCCTTTTTACGTAGTTTTTCTGTAAACTGGATCTCATTCTTCTGTTGGCACTTGTGTAGGACGGATCAGGTAGTGACAGCTCTGTCAGACTGTTTATCGTTGTTTTATTGAAGTGGATGCTAACTGTGAGCTAGCTCTCTGTTTTTACTCTAATCCACCAATCAAAGCTGGGAGAGACTTTGTTCTGCTAGCAGAGCTAGTGAGGCCCCGATTAGGAATAAACAGCAGTGCCCTCTGGTGGATGAGTTGGTTCAGTTTTCTTTGCAAGAAGATTTGGGGTGAAGCTTTGACCTGACCTACTAGTCGGTAAAACGCTCGGTTTGGTTTTCCTTTTTCCTCCATCTGACTCCACATTTTTCTTCTTTCAGGACAAGAAATCAGGATTTCCCCAGAAGAATGAGGAGCCTCCTGCAGACAGGAATACTAATCAGACTTTGACTGAGACTGTGGAGGACTGGCAGTGGGAGGTGACGGAGGAGGAGGAGATCCCAATGGAAGAAGAAGAGGGACCCATGGAAGATTGGCAGGAGGAAATAACGGAAGATGACTTACTGGAGGATGCAGGAGACTGCAGATGTTCCCCGATTAGAGAGGAGCTAAGAACTGAAGGCACAGCAGAATTAAACCAAGTAAAGGAGGTGGAATCAGCGGTGCCTTTACTGACCAGAGTTCCTCCCAATGGCTTCCTGTCGGCCAAAAAGAAACAGCCAGGAGGATCAGATGAAGTGATACAGGTAGATACCCAGATAACAATATTGTTCATGGGGTTCATCTAGAAACACTTCAATTAGACAACTAGAAACCCGACCTGGCCCCAAACCAGAGAGGCGCTGTTGTGAAAGCATCTTTGACCTTTAAACCTTCTGCTCTCTTGCAGGTGAACGGGAAGCCGTACCCTTTTGCAAAGATCCAGCTGGGCAGGATGGGGGCGCTCCATCCAGCCAATCGGCTGGCAGCTTATCTAACGGGTCGGGTCAGGTCTCAGACGCAGCGACAACCTTCATCACAGTCCTGCAGACCTCAGAGTACCCCCTCAGTGACCTCTTCCACTGTCTGTGCGCCACCTGCTCCCACAGCCAGGATCCAAACGCAGCCCACCGCGAGCAGCCCCTCTGCAGGTGAGCACACAGGGTTAGTTTCAGGTTCCCACAGAAAACCACAGAATTTCATCTTATAACCATGAGAAGTGGTTTAAAATATAAAAGTATGTTTGTTAAAACTCTCTCTGTCAGACATTCTGTCATCGGGGATTAATTACTGCTTTTTTTTTGGTTTTCCTGCATTAGAAACAACAGATGTTGGAAAGTTTTCATTTATTTATATTAAAAATAGCGAATTATGATCAGCATCAAACTGTTTAACTGAACCTAAAAATATGTTCAGGAAATAAACAGTGAATTTAGAAAAGTTCAACCAAGTTGGAATCCAGATATTATGGTGCATTCAGGTACATCTAGTAAACCGGGGCCCCAGAGCATCAAAACATCACAAACAGCAGCAGCTTATATCAAGTGCTTTGTTTTTCATCCATCCATCCTTCCATCATCCATCCATGATCCATCCATCATGCAACACTCATCATCCATCCATCCAACCATCATCCATCCATCATGATCAATTAATCTAACCATCATGCATAATCCATCCATCCAACATCCATCATCATGATCCATCCATCCAACATCCATTATCATGATCCATCCATCCATCCATCCATCCATCCTGCAACATACATCATCTATTCATCCATCCATCATGCAACATCCATCCATCCACCCAACATCCATTGATTCATCCATCCAACATCCAATGACCCATCCATCCATCCACCCATCCTGCAACATCCATCCATCCATCCATCCATCCATCCATCCATCCATCCATCCATCCATCCATCCATCCATCCATCCATCCATCCATCCATCCATCCATCCATCCATCCATCCATCCACCCAACATCCATTGATTCATCAATCCAACATCCAATGACCCATCCATCCATCCACCCATCCTGCAACATCCATCCATCCATCCATCCATCCATCCATCCATCCATCCATCCATCCATCCATCCATCCATCCATCCATCCATCCATCCATCCATCCATCCATCCATCCATCCATCCATCCATCCATCCATCCATCCATCCATCCATCCATCCATCCATCCATCCATCCGGTTTGTAAACCCCGTATCTTTCCTGAACCGTCTGTCCTCCTTTCTAGACTCTGAGCCCAAACAGCTGGTTGTTGGACCTTCAGCTCCTTCTCTGAACCCGGCTCCTCCCAAAGACCCTCAGCCGTTGTCGGTTCCAGGTCCTCCTAATGTGCTTCACTTGCTGGCTCCTCTGCCTCCATGCATTCAGTTACAAGGCCCAAAGAAGGGAGCTTCAGAGCCGATCCAGCCATCATCAGGGATCCGGTACTATCGTAGGCCTGATGGATCATTGGTCCAACTGATTCCCATCAACCAGCTGAGACCAGTTAATCCAGCATCGACCATTCAGGGAGGTGAGTGTCTCATTCCCCCGGAGGAATCAGCCAAATATCATTCAGAGGAGGTTTAGTTTGCTCCTGTTCTGATCCGGCTTTATTTAGTCTAGGGTTAGGGATAGGGTTTAGATTTTGTGGAGTTTTGGATTTTGTGAGTTTTTCAGAGACTCCAGCAACATATGGGATGGAAATGTTTTGAAAAAACTTCCTAGATCGAAAGTGAAACGTCCTTAAACTTGGAAACAAAGTCCAGTGGATTGTTTTTTTCAACTTTTTTGGGATGACACAGAATCTTCACCAGCATATAGGCTCTTCTTTATTCTGTTTGATGTGCACCAGTGCTAGCTGATGTAAGCTAGCGTATGAGTGACAGATCCCACAGTTCATTGATTCCCAGCCGAGCTCTTTAAGGACACTGTCCTGCAGTTTTCAGGTGTCTCCATGTTGCATTAAACCTCAAAGGAATAGATGGTGAACAGGCTTCTGCAGCGGCTGATTGCACATGAGGAGCCCTCAGTGGAATCAGGTGTGTTGGAAGACCTCAGGTTTCCTCAGGGTCAGGGCTGGGAACCACTGAGCTAGTGGCTCTTAAGGTAAAATCTAACCCGTAAGCACTGAATCCTTTTTGTCTGCCCACCTGCTGGTTAGTCCATAGATGTTGCAAAAAGTGGAATATAAGCACATTGCTGCTAAAGAGGGGAGTCGGACATTTGGGCGTCCGTCTCTGTGCATCGATCGGCCTGACAGCCGCACATTTACAGTCAACACAAACACTTAGAGGTTGGTAGGCAACTACAGGAGGATCTACATAAAAATAAAAGGAATACAAGCCATCAGTGAACGTTTTCATCTGAAATAATGACTCAGGTATGAGCAAAAAAAAAAGGTATCACTGTGTGGAATAAGATCCATCATAATAATGATTAATGTTATTTGTGTATTATTTTGCTCCTATATAGTGAATAAGACTTGATAGGAATAAAGGTTGATGCTTGTTGATTAGTAGATCATTTAAATGTGTTGGTTAACAGAATCTTAATTACTGTTTTTCTTTTCCAGTTTTGCTTTAACAGCTTAATGTAATAAAATTGTTTATTATTATCCAGACTGGTTTGACCTTTTCAACAGGCCCAGTGATGTGAACCTGATTATGTCCTTCAGACGGAGATCTTTCGCCTTTCCTAAACCCTGAACCGTCTGTCCTCCTTTCTAGACTCTGAGCCCAAACAGCTGGTTGTTGGACCTTCAGCTCCTTCTCTGAACCCGGCTCCTCCCAAAGACCCTCGGCCGTTGTTGGTTCCGGGTCCTCCTAATGTGCTTCACTTGCTGGCTCCTCTGCCTCCATGCATTCGGTTACCAGGCCCAAAGGTGGTTCCAGAGCCGGCCCAGCCGTCATCAGGGATCCGGTACTATCGCAAGCCTGATGGATCATTGGTCCAACTGATTCCCATCAACAGATCAACCATTCAGGGAGGTGAGTTTTGGAATCAGCCGAATATTAGTTTGTTCCGGTTCTGACCAGGTCCGCTTTAGTCCATTTGATATTCAAGTCAGAATCTCTAAATCAGAGGAAAGATGTTGTAGTCTAAAATTCAGCAGGTAAAAGAACCATTAAATTCAGTTTATTTCGATAACGCCAATTCACAACCCATGTCAAGTCAAGGCACTTTCCAGTTCACCAGATTATCCAGTCAGATTGATTCAAAGTTTTCTATCTAAGGAAAACCAGCTGATTGCATCGACTCATTGACGTGAAGGCAATCCCTTACACTAAGCATGCTTGTAGCGACAGTGGAGAGGAAAAATCCCTTTGAAGCAGAACCAGGCTCAGTGTGAGCGGCCATCTGCTGAGGCCGACTGGGGTTCAAGGAGACAGAAGCAGAGATAGAAATAGAAGCATAGATACAAAAGGCAACTGTCAACCAGCTCCACAGGCGGCCCCACCGAACTAACAGATTCTGCAGAGTGGGAGAATAGAGATAGAATGGTGAAAAAGGGGTCCCTATGTCCTCCAGCAGTCTAAGCCTATAGCAGCATAACTATAGAGATAGCTCAGGATAACCTGAGCCACTCTAACTATAAGCTTTATCAAAAAGGAAAGTTTTAAGCCTAGCCTTAAAAGTAGACAGGGTGTCTGCCTCACGGACTAAAACTGGTAGCTGGTTCCACAGGAGAGGAGCCTGATAACTAAAAGATCTGCCTCCCATTCTACTTTTAGAAATTCTAGGGACCCTGGTTCTGTTGTTTCTGCATCCTGAACCCAAACATAGAAACAGGGTATCAGATCAATTCTAAACATGTGCTGTGGATAAAGGGAAACAGAACCAGGCTGTTAACCTTCATTATTTTAGCACAGCTGGTAGAACTCAGAGTTTAATCAGATTTTCTATCCTTCCTCCTCTTCCTCAGTCCGCCCTGCTTCCCGTCTTCAGCTGCCTCCTGGATCCATACTGAATCGTCCTCCTTTGACTGCCCTATCCTCCTCTTCATCCTCATCATCCTCTGTACTCTTGCCTTCACCGTCTTTTGAACCCTCATCTTCCTCAGAGTCCCCCCGGCCCGCCCCATCTGTTTCTTGGTCTCAGCAGAGCTCCTTTCCTTCTAAAGTTGTCCCGGCCAACCGTCTCCAGGACCCCATCATTCTCCAGCTCCCTTTCCTGCCCCCCACTAAACCAGTGGCTCCTGAAGGTGGCCAGGGCCAGACCCCTCGAGTTGTCCCAGTGCAGTCCCCGGTGTATCAGCAGGCTGACATGGTGGACCGATCAGACATGGTAGCTGAGGACATGACCGTCCAAAAGCAAGGTGTTTCAGACCAGCTGAGCATCCATACACCTGCCGAGTGCGCTCGTACCCGGGGGGACCCACGCCCCCTCCAACCAAGGCCCATGCCTGATGGCTACAGCTCTGAGCAGGACTGTGTGTCTGACCCAGAAGACTTGGACATTGTGTGTGTCGAACAGATGGAAGTGGTGGATCTCTTGTCCAGCAGCGAGACGGATAACTCTTCAGACTTCGGAGACTCTGAGGCTGAAGACGAGAGGGGGCCGGCTGCAGATAAACAGGTAAAACCAGAACTTCTTGTCTAGAAATTCGTTTAGATATGACCCAGGAGGAACCAGTTAGTTCAGAATCACTGATCACAAGATTTCAGTAAAGAATTACAATAGTCCAGCCTTGAAGTAACAAATGCATTGACTAGTTTCTCAGCATCACCCCTGGACAGGAGATTTCAAATTTTTGCAATATTCCGCAGATGAAAGAAGGAAATTCTAGAAACCTCTTTGATATGGGATTTAAATGACAGGTCCTGATCAAAAATAACACCAAGATTTTTTACTTCATAATCTGAAATCAGTTTAATCCCATCCAAATGAAGTGACTGGCTAATCAGCTTCTTTTTCAGAGACTCTAGTCCAAAGACTATAACTTCTGTTTTGTCTGCATTCAGGAGCAGAAAGTTAAGAGTCATCCAGGTTTTTATGTCTTCAGACATGCCTGTAATTTTTGTAATGGGTTAGCTTCATCTAGATTATAGACAGATATAGCTGGGTATCATCAGCATAACACTGAAAATTAATCCCACGCTGTCTAATAATTCTACCAATTGGGAGCATGTATATAGTAAAGAGAATTGGTCCTAGCACTGATCCCTGTGGTACTGCACAGGTAAACTTTGAGCATGAGGAAGATTTATCATTAATGTGAACAAACTGAAATCAATCAGATAGATAAGATTTAAACCAGTCTAGTGCTGTTCCTTTAATTCCAACAAAATATTCAAGTCTTTCTAAAAGAATATTATGGTCAACTGTATCAAATGCAGCACTGAGATCCAACAGAACGAGCACAGATACAAGTCCATTATCTGAGGCCATGAGAATATCATTAGTGACTTTCACCAGAGCTGTTTCAGTGCTATGATGAGCTATAAAGCCAGACTGAAACTCTTCAAAAGTTCATTATGGTGTAAGTGATCGCACACTTGTTTGGCAACTACTTTCTCAAGAATATTAGATAAGAAAGGAAGATTTGATATAGGTCTATAATTGACCAAGTCATCTGGGTCAAGAGACGGTTTCTTAAGTAAAGGTTTAATTACACCAACCTTAAAAATTAATGAGCAGTTCTAAAGAATCCCAGCTCAGGGGAATGTCGGGAACAGACTCTGCAGGTATTCAAGGTTGCAGGAGGTAGATGACGTGGAAACCTGTTCCCAGAACAGCCGTTTGTGTTTATTGCCTGCAGTGCATGAAGCTGGTCCAGCAGCCAGGGAGCGTTGATGCAGACCTGAACAAGGAGAAGAACTCCCTGCAGAAGTGTGAGCAGGAAGATCAGCCCATTCCTGGCCCATCAGAAGGTTTGAATGCTCACATTCTCTAAGACAGAAATCAGATTGTGGGTTTCAGAATGAACAGGGATCTGATGGAAAGAGAAGCTTCTTATCCCATCCAGATAAGAAGCGCTGTAAAAGTTTTAGGGAAAATATCATAGCAGGAAATAAAGAAAGGCTTGTTGGCCGTGATACAGAGTCAGGGTTTGCTCCCCCTTTTGGCCCAAACACCCAGAAACGAGTCAGCTCGGCTCTAATTGCTGCATGTAGACTGAAGGAGGGAGACGGTTGGATGGTTGTAAAGGGGAGCTGTGATCATGACCTGCAGCTTCTGATTCTGCAGCTCAGTGTTTCCATCTGCTTGGATCTGATCTGATGCTATCAGGTCCGGCTGCAAGGAACAGATCAGGTTCTGGTCACCTGGTTCATGGGTAGCCATTTGTTTGGTTGTTTGTTTTTGGGTCGTTCTGGTTCTGCATCCTCTTCAGGGTTTAGCTGAAACGTGTGTCAACCGATATCTGGATCCCCTCCTTCATTCTGAACGTTTGTGGCAGAGGGACTTTTCTAAACCTGTTCTGAAAAGAAAAAGTTGGATGTTTTGAGTCATATGTTAAACCTGTTTCCACATGCTTTACTTCAGTGGTTCCCAAAGATTTTCTTCTGGGCCCCCCTTTGGATTACAATAAAATTTCCACATAGTTCTATACTGTAGATTAGAAGAGGATTAGAAGAGGATTCTTTGTTGTCTGTGTTATTTTAAACAGATTTCTTTTTTTTTTTTATTTGTAACAATATTTAACTCTATCATCAATACATTAAAAAAGCCTCTGTGCAATATGGAGTGAAAACATTTAACAGCTCCCTGACAGTTTTTTTCTTTGTACTTTAGTCCTCCCATTTTTTCAGTGGCTGTAGTGAGCCTGCTTGTTGCTGCAGATCTTCTTAAATCTGGGTTGCAGTGTCACAACTGTCCATTATGCTCAGTCAAGCAAGCGCTGTTTTTTTTTTTGTTTTTTTTTCTTCATTCATCCATACCACTTCCCGCGCCCCCCCTGCAATGGCATTACGCCCCCCCTAGGGGGCGCGCCCCACACTTTGGGAACCACTGCTTTAATTGATCTTTATGGTGCTACTCATGCAAAGCAGCATCAATACCCTGAGGGCTCCCATCCAGGTAACAATGGAAACAGTGCTCTCAGAGACACACCTCATCCGACCCACTACCGACTGAAGGAGTCGCAGATAGAGCAGAATATTAGAAATTGAACTAACAGATACTGAAGAGTGGGAGAATAAAAATGGAATGAAGCAGAATGAGGAAATAGGGGTCCCAATGTCCTCCGGAAGTCTAAGCCTATAGCAGCATAACTATAGAATAGTATGTATGTCACTATAGAACCCGGCTGAAAGTCTTCTTGCTCCGTTTGGTTTTGGAGTATTGCTTAATTCTGATCACTGTAATACTGTGAGGTTTACAGACATGAAAGATGAGCGCTCCTCTGTTCACAGCAGTCACTTCATTTCAGTCCTGACTGAAATTTTTCAAACAGATCATTTTGTTTTAGATGGTCCTGAAGCTGAGCGGAAACAAATTTTTTTTCAGCACCTTTGAAAGGGTCGGAAGATTGGAGATAGGCCTGTAGTTGACAAAGCCTTCTGGGTCAAGGGTGGGTTTTTTGAGAATTTGCCTGATGATTGCAGTTTTCAGTGTTGTTGGAAGCTGGCCGGACTGGAGGGAGTGGTTAATGACCTTTGTGATAAAGGGACTTAAGGTATGGAGATTGGATTTTACCAGGACTGTTGGTCCAGGGCGCAGGAAGAAAGTTTCATCTTTTTGATGATGTCCTCAACTTCTCGCTGTGAGATGACCAAGAAACAGCAGAAAGGTTGGGAAATCCCAGGTGTTGGGTCAGCAGTTGTGACAGGCAGTGTGGAGTAACTGGGTAGTAGGGAGTGGATGCTATTTACTTTTTTGCTGAAAAAAGTGATAAAGTTGTTTCTTCTGTGTCTTCTGTTTGAGAGTAAGTTTGCGGTTTGAGAATGTAATTTATGGTTGAGAAAAGTTGCTTGGAGTTTTCAGGCCTGTTGTTGATAATGTTAGAATAGAACTGTGAACGTGCATCTCTCAAGGACCTTGCATTGGACTTCTGATATTCACGGTAGCCCTGCCTATGAACAGTAAGTCCTGAGGCCTTGAGGTGCCGCTCAAGGATTTGGCCAGCTTTTTTCATTTGCAGTAGTTCAGAGGTGTACCATGGGTCTGGGCGTAAGAAGCTGACAGTTCTAGTTTTGACAGGAGCACGGAAAACTAGGAGACTCAGAGATTGGTTGTAGAAATCAACCGACTCGGTGACTGAAGAGAAATCAGCAGAGGTGAGATGTTGGAGGTCAATTGTTAAAGTGTCGAGTTTTTCCCAGGTCCCTATAGAAGATTTTACGTTTGAGTTTGGTCAGACACACCCAGATCATATCTTGGAAGGTTGCTAATGGGGGCGGAGTTGGATATGACCAGGTCCATTGTGTGCCCCCTGAAATGTGTTGTTGAAGGTTGAGGCAGTTCAATATTAGCAGAAACTCAGTTGCAAAATGACAGAAGCATTATCTACATGAATATTAATATCTCCAAGTATCATAATGTTGACAGAGGTGGTGCAGAGTGTTGTGAGAAGGTTGTGTATCTCTGAGATAAGTCATATTGGGTTTGGGGGTGGGCCGGTAGATGAGGAGCATTTTCAAGGGGGGGGGGGTTAACTTAAATGCTAGGCATTCAAATGAAGACAGTGTAGGAAGGGGGAGGGGGGTAAGCACCAAGTCCTGACGGTGTATGGCAGCTAGGCCACCACCATGACCAGTACTGCGGGCTCTGTCCAGGTAGCTGTAACCGGGGGGACAAACTTCATTAAGGGCTGAATAGACCCCTGGCTGGAGCCATGTTTCTGTGAGACACATGAAGTCTTGTTCAGTCTTGGGTTGTGTTATGTGAGGCTCAAAGAGGATCACTGTTTTTTTTTTTTCTGTTTTCCGTCCTCCTGAGCTTTTTTTCCTATATGTTTCATTGATTGTTTCAGCCCAGTCTGCCCCGCCTGTTCTGCACTGCTACTAACTCCATCCTATCCACTGCTAACGCCATCCTGTCCGCTGCTAACGCCATCCTGTCCGCTGCTAACGCCATCCTGTCCGCTGCTAACGCCATCCTGTCCGCTGCTAACGCCATCCTGTCCACTGCTAATGCCAGCCTGTGTAAAAACAGCCTGTCCGATGCTAATGCCATCCTGTCCTTTGCTGACGCCATCCTGTCCTTTGCTGACGCCATCCTGTCCTTTGCTGACGCCATCCTGTCCTGTGCTGACGCCATCCTGTCCTGTGCTGACGCCATCCTGTCCTGTGCTGACGCCATCCTGTCCTGTGCTGACGCCATCCTGTCCTGTGCTGACGCCATCCTGTCCTTTGCTGACGCCATCCTGTACTTTGCTAACGCCAGACTGTCCGCCGCTAACGCCATCCTGTGTAAAAACCAGCCTGTCCGATGCTAATGCCAGCTTGTCCACTGCTAACACCAGCCTGTCCAATGCTAATGCCAGCCTGTCCGCTGCTAACACCAGCCTGTCTAAAAACCAGCCTGTCCAATGCTAATGCCAGCCTGTCCGCTGCTAACACCATCCTGTGTAAAAACCAGCCTGTCCGATGCTAATGCCAGCCTGTCCGATGCTAATGCCAGCCTGTCCGATGCTAATGCCAGCCTGTCCGATGCTAATGCCAGCCTGTCCGATGCTAATGCCAGCCTGTCCGATGCTAATGCCAGCCTGTCTGCTGCTAACGCCAGCCTGTCCGCTGTTAACGCCAGCCTGTGTAAAAACCTGCTTGTCCGATGCTAATGCCAGCCTGTCCACTGCTTACACCAGCCTGTGTAAAAACCAGCCTGTCCGATGCTAATGCCAGCCTGTCCACTGCTAACGCCAGCCTGTGTAAAAACCAGCCTGTCCGATGCTAATGCCAGTCTGTCCACTGCTAACACCAGCCTGTCTAACAGCCAGCCTGTCCGATGCTAACGGATTTCTGGTTAACGTTTATTTTGATTTTGAAGTTTAAGTTTTCCGATGTGTACATTAGGATGAAAAGTGTTTCTCCCTCCCTTATTCTTATTTTCCAGATGGCATCTTTATGATCCCCACCAGTTATGGGAGAATCCTCTGTGGACTGATGAGAGAACAGTTGGGCGGTGTCAAAGGTGTGTGTCCGATTATATCTGGCATAAGGGGAACAGCAGGTTTCACTATGGGTGAGACCAGCCAAGGAAGCGGTCCCTGACTGACAGGTCGACTGTCCGTAAGCTCCTCCTACAGTCATTCTCACCCTCTTCCTGTGGGGAACTATATCACTCCCCCTCAGCTCCCTGGGCTACAAGCTAGGCAGCTCTTCAACTGTTCACAAAACAACGAAAGGACATCTGTGCCGATCATAGTGGTACAAGCTTTGGCTTGGACTGGCTGAGTAGATTCACACGCATGACGGCGTGCTGCCTTTACCTGGCTGCTTTACTGCAAAAAGATGAAATCACAAGTAGTTTTTAGTGAGACATTTTGCCAATGGAACAAACAATTTACATTTAAAATGAGAAGAAAACTCAAGTGCATGTTATCCGATTTTAGGAGTAAAAAGTACTAATTTTAATTGACAAATCATCTTATTTACCTGAGCAAATTGAGGTTAAAAAAACAGAATCAGAAATACTTCAATGATCCCAGGGGGAAATTATCTTCGTTACACGCTCCAGGTATACAAACGACATATTGCACACATTCATGTAAAGAAATAAAATACTATACTAAGAAATATAACTTTCCACACTTAAAATAAAAATATATATCCATATGTAACTATATATATATTTAGAGAGAGAGAGAGAGACTTGTATATATTTACAGATTTAAAAAGAAAAGAAAAAAACTTAATTTCAGAGTTAATTGTTTACTCCTTTCTAATTCATTTTTGCAATGTTTATATTCACATATTTAGCACCATGGTCTGTATCGCTGTAGGAGGAACTTGCTGTCTGTAGTATCAGCAGTATCACTATCAGGGGGCGGGCTTGATGCCATTAGAGCTCCCATAGGCGGTCTCACCCGTAGGCGGTCTCACCCGTAGGCGTTCTCACCAATAGGCGTTCTCACCAATAGGCGTTCTCACCCATAGGCGGTCTCACCCGTAGGCGGTCTCACCCATTGGCGGTCTCACCCATAGGCGGTCTCACCCATAGGCGTTCTCACCCATAGGCGTTCTCACCCATAGGCGGTCTCACCCGTAGGCGTTCTCACCCATAGCCGGTATCACCAATAGCCGGACTCACCAATAGCCGGTCTCACCCATAGCCGGTCTCACCCATAGCCGGTCTCACCCATAGGCGGTCTCACCCATAGGCGGTCTCACCCATAGGCGGTCTCACCCATAGCCGGACTCACCAATAGCCGGTCTCACCCATAGGCGGTCTCACCCGTAGCCGTGCTCACCCGTAGGCGTACACACCCATAGCCTTTCACACCCATAGCCGGTCTCACCCATAGGCGTTCTCACCCATAGCCGGTCTCACCCATAGGCGGTCTCACCAATAGGCGTTCTCACCCATAGGCGGTCTCACCCATAGGCGTTCTCACCCATAGCCGTCTCACCCATAGGCGGTCTCACCCATAGGCGGTCTCACCCATAGGCGTTCTCACCCATAGCCGGTCTCACCCATAGGCGGTCTCACCCATAGGCGTTCTCACCAATAGCCGGTCTCACCCATAGGCATTCTAACCCATAGCCGGTCTCACCCATAGGCGGTCTCACCCATAGGCGTTCTCACCCATAGCCGGTCTCACCCATAGGCGGTCTCACCCATAGGCGTTCTCACCCATAGCCGGTCTCACCCATAGGCGTTCTAACCCATAGCCGGTCTCACCCATAGCCGGTCTCACCCATAGCCGGTCTCACCCATAGGCGGTCTCACCCATAGGCGTTCTCACCCATAGCCGGTCTCACCAATAGGCGGTCTCACCCGTAGGCGGTCTCACCCGTAGCCGTTCTCACGCGTAGGCGTTCTCACCCATAGCCGGTCTCACCCATAGGCGGTCTCACCCATAGGCGGTCTCACCCATAGGCGTTCTCACCCATAGGCGTTCTCACCCGTAGGCGGTCTCACCCGTAGGCGTTCTCACCAATAGGCGTTCTCACCCATAGGCGGTCTCACCCGTAGGCGGTCTCACCCGTAGGCGTTCTCACCCATAAGCGTTCTGACCCATAGGCGTTGTGACCCATAGGCGTTCTCACCCATAGGCGTTCTCACCCATAGGCGTTCTCACCCATAGCCGGTCTCACCCATAGGCGTTCTAACCCATAGCCGGTCTCACCAATAGCCGGACTCACCAATAGCCGGACTCACCCATAGGCGGTCTCAGCCATAGGCGGTCTCACCCATAGGCGTTCTCACCCATAGCCGGTCTCACCCATAGGCGGTCTCACCCATAGGCGGTCTCACCCATAGGCGGTCTCACCCATAGGCGTTCTAGCCCATAGCCGTTCTCACCCATAGCCGTTCTCACCCATAGGCGTTCTAACCCATAGCCGGTCTCACCAATAGGCGTTCTCACCCGTAGGCGGTCTCACCCGTAGGCGGTCTCATCCGTAGGCGGTCTCACCCGTAGGCGGTCTCACCCGTAGGCGTTCTCACCCATTGCCGGTCTCACCCGTAGCCGTGCTCACCCGTAGGCGTTCACACCCATAGGCGTTCTCACCCATAGCCGGTCTCACCCATAGCCGGTCTCACCAATAGGCGGTCTCACCAATAGGCGTTCTCACCCATAGGCGGTCTCACCCATAGGCGGTCTTACCCATAGGCGTTCTCACCCATAGGCTGTCTCACCCATAGGCTGTCTCACCCATAGGCGGTCTCACCCATAGGGGGTCTCACCCATAGGCGGTCTCACCCATAGGGGGTCTCACCCATAGGCGGTCTCACCCGTAGCCGTTCTCACGCGTAGGGGTTCTCACCCATAGCCGGTCTCACCCATAGGCGTTCTCACCCATAGGCGGTCTCACCCATAAGCGGTCTCACCAATAGGCGTTCTCACCCATAGCCGGTCTCACCCATAGGCGGTCTCACCCATAGGCGGTCTCACCCATAGGCGGTCTCACCCATAGCCGGCCTCACCCATAGCCGGCCTCACCCGTAGCCGTTCTCACGCGTAGGGGTTCTCACCCATAGCCGGTCTCACCCATAGGCGGTCTCACCCATAAGCGGTCTCACCAATAGGCGTTCTCACCCATAGCCGGTCTCACCCATAGGCGGTCTCACCCGTAGGCGTTCTCACGCGTAGGGGTTCTCACCCATAGCCGGTCTCACCCATAGGCATTCTCACCCATAGGCGGTCTCACCCATAGGCGGTCTCACCCATAGGCGTTCTCACCCATAGGCGGTCTCACCCATAGGCGGTCTCACCCATAGGCGGTCTCACCCATAGGCGTTCTCACCCATAGCCGGTCTCACCCGTAGGCGGTCTCACCCGTAGGCGGTCTCACCCGTAGGCGGTCTCACCCGTAGCCGTTCTCACCCGTAGCCGGTCTCACCCATAGGCGGTCTCACCCATAGCCGGTCTCACCCGTAGGGGTTCTCACCCATAGCCGGTCTCACCCATAGGCGGTCTCACCCATAAGCGGTCTCACCCATAGGCGGTCTCACCCATAGGCGGTCTCACCCGTAGCCGTTCTCACGCGTAGGGGTTCTCACCCATAGCCTTTCACACCCATAGCCGGTCTCACCCATAGGCGTTCTCACCCATAGCCGGTCTCACCCATAGGCGGTCTCACCCATAGGCGGTCTCACCCGTAGGCGTTCTCACGCGTAGGGGTTCTCACCCATAGGCGGTCTCACCCATAGGCGTTCTCACCCATAGGCGTTCTCACCCATAGGCGGTCTCACCCATAGGCGGTCTCACCCATAGGCGGTCTCACCCGTAGGCGGTCTCACCCGTAGGCGGTCTCACCCGTAGCCGTTCTCACCCGTAGCTGTTCTCACGTGTAGCCTGTCTCACCCGTAGGCGTTCTCACCCGTAGGCGTTCACACCCATAGCCTTTCACACCCATAGCCGGTCTCACCCATAGGCGGTCTCACCCGTAGGCGGTCTCACCCATAGGCGGTCTCACCCGTAGGCGGTCTCACCCGTAGGCGTTCTCACCCGTAGGCGTTCTCACCCGTAGGCGTTCACACCCATAGCCTTTCACACCCATAGGCGTTCTCACCCATAGCCGGTCTCACCCATAGCCGGTCTCACCCATAGGCGTTCTCACCCATAGCCGGTCTCACCCATAGGCGTTCTCACCCATAGTGCTACAGCTTCTTCTATTATCAAACCACCAGGGTTATTTCAGTAACCCTAGGTTTCTGCAGCAGGACAATAATCCTAAACTAACCAGCAAATTCACTATTAAAGGGCTTGGAGCGGCCTAGTTAAAGTCCTGAGCTGAATCCGGTTGATGCTGTGGCACGCCCTTAAAATGGTTGTTTAACCCTGAACACCATCCAGTGGGGCTGACCTCTACCTGCTCAGTAAAGATGAGTGCATCAGACTTCCTCCACAGTGCTGTGCAACCCTCACCTCACTGGAGGGCAGCTGCTAAAGCCAGGCATTTACTGTTTTTGAGTTTTTGTCCACTTCGGGCTTATTATCTAGTGCCAGAATGTTTGGGATCGAGCCGAGTTTCAGCCTCATGGTGCGTCCTGCGTGTTTTAGTGTACAGGCTAACGAGGGGAGATCAGCCTCCCTATCAGGAATCATAAGGTCGGTAGAACATCAAACATGTTTCAAATTCAGTCTCCCGTCATGAGGTGCTCATGAGCAAATCCTGATGTTGAAGCAGAGCTATGAGCCGATTTACCAGAACCTCAAGCACTGTGCATGTGCAACACAGATTCACAAGTCCGACCAGCACCATCTCTCGGCACTGAGTCTGACGTGGTTTCTGGATGTACAGTGTGAGCAGGTAGATCGCATAAGTGAAAGAACAAATATAGTGAACTTTTAAACCCTGCGATTTCATCGTACAGTTTGAGCTGTAGATGAGAGCAATGATTGAAAACATTGTACAGTGGACACCCAGCTGATAAGATTACCTAAATTTGTTCCGTACTCTTCGTATTTGCTATCCAGTGTTAGCACCAGGCTATCAGCGCTAAGAGACGTTAGAAATCTTGAGAACTAACTCTGATGAAAGCTTGCCTTCAGCTGTTGCTAGCGCAGCTGACCAATGGTTAATCAAATCAGTAGCTGGCTTCGTCATGTACACGACCTACCGCACATACGGTGCCAATGTGAATCCGGACGACAGACAGAAACGTGTCCATGCTTCTGTTGGAGTAACGTGAACATAAAGACCGTCATCAGAACCGTCGCTGTTCACCCCTGGTCATCCAAACGCACACCTGGCCGGAGACGGGAGCAGCTCCACACCCTCCTCACTGATCCCTGATCTCTGACCTGTTCTGTTCTGATAGCGGACCAGGCTGCCACTGCAAGGAAAGAGGGAAAGGATGGGATCTACGTCTCATCTGAGGACGGTTTAAGCAGGATAACTGCTGTTGATGTAAGCCACTGCCGGATGTCTTCATTCAAACTGGATTGTAGCTGCAGCAGTTTCATCTCAATGCTCTCTGGTTCTGGCAGGACGCTGCTGCAGCGTTTGAGCTCCCAGATGTTGGCCAGCAGAGAAAAAGTCCTCAGAAGGACCAGGAGAGGAAGAACAGCAGTTCAAGGTGAGGAGTTCCCTCATGGTCACTGTGGACCAACCAAGCTGATCCCTGCTGCCTCTACTTGATTCATGATTCATCAACATCGGTGAACCTGGATCTTCTGCTTTCCAGAGAGGACTTGGAGCTGGAAGATGGAAGCCCCGTGGTCAACTCCACAAAACCTCAGACCCGTTGTCTTAGAACTACTCATGACAAAGGGGTACCTGATGCAGATTCAACACTTCCTATCTAGGTTGGAAGATGGTTGAAGCTAACGCCTGGTTTTTTTTTGGATCTCCAGCTTCACAACCTGAGAGAGAGACTCTCTCGAGCCCAGATACGGCAAATGTTCCTTAATTTAAGGAAGCAGGTGCATCCAAGCAGTTACAGAATGTCTAAAGCCTCCATTCTGAAAAAGGTGGGGAAGCAGTCTTCAGAGCGACTTAGTGTTCATAGTTCAGAAGACGATCACAGCGTGTTTTCTGCTGCAGGCCCAGGAGGTGATCCAGCAGTTGAACAGAGACGAGGAAAAGCTGAAGAGGAAAAAGGAGCGCATGCTGAAGAAGCGGGATAAATACCTGTCCCTTCTGGTTCCATCAGAAGGTTTGAATGCTTCTGGTGGATCTGAATATCTCAAGTCCATTTTTCTGGGACGTCCTCTGTCCGCTCCCGCAGAAGTTCATGTTTCAACCAATAAACTGTCTGGATAACAATCCACTATGCCTACATCACAGATTCTAATATTCATTTATAATTAAAATCAATCAGTCCAGAACATGTGCAACGTTAAACGTTAGCTACCTGGGGGTCAAAACTTCCAGACGTGTCAAGTAACGAAGTACAAATACTTTGTTACTGTACTTAAGTACACTTTTTAGGTATCTATACTTTACTCCATTAGTTATTTTTCTTCCTACTTCTGACTTCTACTCATTACATTTTCACACAAGTATCTGTACTTTCTGTTCCGTACATTTTTAAAACAAACGTTACTCGTTACTCTTGGCTTCAGTTTAATGTTTCTAAATATTTATTTCAGGTCATGTGCTCCATCTAATGCAGATCATTGGCTCCATCCACATCTAGTGAAAACTAGATGCCATGCTACAATGTCGGATTCAGAAAAAAATGTCTGAAAGGTCGGACACAGGCGAGAGATCGGGAGACGGAGACCAATAAGACCTCCCTCATCCTTCGCCTTATCTTAAAGAATTTTTTAGAAATAGTTAAAAAATTGAGCTTTCAGTTCATATAGTGGCATCTGGCTGTCTTTTTTTAAAGGTTACTTTATACTTTAAGTAGTTTTTGGAGCGCATTCTTTTTCACTTTTACTTGAGTAAAGAGGTCAAGTTGATACTTCAACTTTCACCAGAGTTTTTTTTAACTGCAGTACTTATACTTCTACTTAAGTAACAAAAGTGTGTACTTTTCACACCACTGAAAACTCCAAAATAAACACCTTAATAAAATCCTATGCTTCACTTATAATCCCTTATTTATAACAATAAGGTCACATCTATAAAGGCGGAGGGTGGCGTGTTGTACTCTGCCTTGATTGACTCAGTCTGAAAAATGTTTTATAAGCTCACATGGTGGAACAATAACACCATAACTTTATCTTGTTTTAATTGTGAAGTTGGTCTTTACCTTTTATTTCAAGTGGCATTAAAAAAATCATAAAAAGTCTTGAATTTAACTTGCCTTATGCTTAGGGTCAGACTGGAAAAATTTCGGCCCTGGCATTTTTCCATCAACAAAAAAAGATGAAGCACAATCAAACGCGTGCGTCTCAAATGTGAAACACAATACGGATGCACATTGTGGATTAACCGATCTATCTTCAAACTTCATACGACAACCATCACCAAGACTTCTATAATGCTGTTTTACTGGCTTTGGTTATTAACACGGACGCCACAGTTACTGCTGCTGCGTAACGTCCACACTGAACGAAGCCAGCCAGCCAGACACACACACACACATACTATGTCTACTACCTGTAAATAAGGCCAAGTGTTGTGAAAACACCAACATAAAACAATACAAAATAGAGGCAGACTGGCAGTTCTTCAAGAAGGAATACATGAAAGCTCAGCAGTGTGTCAGCGTTCACTGCAGGTCCAGGTGGCATGTGGGCAATGAAATGGAATAATGTAAACAGTTGCAAAACCCCATCATGCACTGCAACATATTTTTGCAACATATAAGAACATAAATTCACCAAACATAAGAGGAACATCGTAGTTTGGTTTAAAGAAAGGATTTTAGTTTTATTATAATTTAGTTTGTTGCAAGGATTTTACAGTTTGAAGAAATAGAAAATGACACCATATGCCAACCGTCACAAGGATGTGCATGACTAGGAAGGGTTGTATATACTGCATGCATCATTTAGGTAGTTTACATTTTATTACTTCTTGAGCTCCTTCAGTTATTTACTGTCACAGGTAGGAGCTTTGCCCGGAGAGTAAGTGTTGGTGCCGGTATGATCTAAGGAGGGCCGGCACTCAGAGGCTGAAATTAGGACCGACCCACCGGGCAAATGCCTAATATGACAGATCACCAGTCCGAGCCTTCTTATGCTCTAGGAACCCTGAGTAGCCTTCACCAGGATATTGATGTAACCAGGATGACTGGATGGACATGGGGCATGACATTTACAGATGACATCCTGTGTAAGGTGGACAATGCAGGAGCACGTGCTGACCACCTTGGCAACTCCCTGGTGGTTCACGTGTTTGCCCTCTCTGCATCTGTTCAGGGTGCTGGTGGTGAAACTGCGGCGATTGGTTTTAGTGACGCAGCGCTGCGGGCCTTTGCGCTGATGACCAGAGAGCTTGGCAGTGTCATCTCCTTCCAAGCTTGTAGACTGGTCTTGGTTGCACAGTCTTCTATTACCGAAGCATGCCGTAGGGGTGTCCCCGTTATTCCAGAGGAGCTGTTTGGGTCCCCGGGGGATAGAAGATACCACCATCCCAGCATTCGGACATTTTTCCATTCAGCAGCTAAATTTCTGGGCTGCTCATGCTGTAGATCCATGGCTGGTTGCTACCTTAACCCATGGCTACAGGCTCCAGTTCTGAGACAGTTGTCTTGTTCCATCTCAGACAACGCCTTTCTTGGGATGTTTTTGTACTCTACTACCTTGAGGGCCGGTCCAGCTGTTAACAGGGTGGACAACACACCCCAGTTTGTCAGTCGATTAAGGCTGGTCAGGCAGTTTCCCGACTTCATCTTCCTGTGAATGCTGGGCAAACTGACATCTCTAGTCACGCTCTTTTCCCTCACTCTGACTAGGCACGTCTTTGATTCTGGTGGATTGGTTGTGCCCTTTGAATCCCTGGGTTGTAAAGATAATCCAAGTTCTGTCAGCTGAGCCATGGGCTCTCCCCATTTGTAGGGACGTGCTGTCTCAGGTTCAAGGGGAGAATTATCATCCACACCCAGATCACCTAGCTCTCTGGGCTTGACCCATGAAAAGTGGAATTTATATGTGACAGGTTTCCATCCAGAGCTCATCCACACCATACAAAATGCTAGGGCTTCTCCTACACGCTCCCTTTACAGTAGTAAATGGCAGGTTTTTGGGGAATAGTGAGGGGAAGGCAGGTCATTACTTTCAGTGTTCATTGGTAGATGTGCTCTGCTTTTTGCAAAGCTTGTTTGAAAAGGGTAAGGCCTTTTCAACAATTAAGGTTTATTTAGCTGCAATCTCTGCTTGTCATGTAGGGTTTGGTAATAAACCTGTGCGGAAGCACCCCTTAGTGTGTCCTTTCATGAGAGGGGTTCAACGTAAGTTGGTAGTTCCTAAGCCTCTGGTGCCATTATGAGATCTCACTCTGATGCTGGACCCACTTTGCCCTCATCCCTTTGAAACTTTGGAGGTTGTTGCCTTAAAGTTTCTTTAATTTAAAACTACCCTGCTCCTAGCGTTGGCCACAGCTAAGAGAGTGAGTTGCATGCATTTTTAGTCAGCCCGGCTGGTTTACAGTGGGCTCTCCAAGTTGTGCTTAAGACCCAATTCTGCTTTTGTGCCAAAGGTTTTGCAATAATCATACAGGTGTTCGATGGTGGAATTGCTGGCATTCCATCTTCCCCCATTCTCTTCAGCAGGAGGGCAGAAGCTTCATCACTTAAGTCCTGTGATAGCTTTAAGAGCTTATGTGTGGACAGGGCAACCTGTTTTAGAAGTAATTTAATCTGTTTGTGTCTTGGGGTACCGCTCATAAGGGCAAACCGGTCTCCTGCCAAGGGTTGGCACACTAGAATGGGGAGGCTATATCTCTGGCATATAGGTGTGCAGGCTCTGAGCCCCCTAAAGGGGTGAGGTCCCATTCTACCAAGAGCATTTCCACCTCTTGGGCTTTGTTCTATGTTGTGTCAGTTCAGGACATCTGTGCTTTTTGCCAGTTGGGCTACACCATTATATTTGTGAGGTTTTACAGGCTGGATTTGGCTCAGCCATTGCTTGTGCACATAGTGCTTGAAGTAAGGATGTCAGGGTCCACCTAAGGCCCTGGATTGGGATTCCAATCATGCATGGCTTCGGGGTCAGCATGCAATCCGGGAGTGGGCCATGTCATCTAGGGTGAAACACAGAGTGAAGTTAGAAAGAGAATGTTGAGTTACTTATTGTAATCCGTGGTTATTTGATAACAGAGCGAGGGCATGGGCACGGAAAGAAACCTGCCTTGCATGAATTGAGCCTGGTAGGTTTGCCGTAGGTGGAGCATGGCTCAACCTGTCTGTCACAGACAGATGTGATGTATTTGGAGCTTCTGTAGTTGGTCACGCAGAAGCGATTTCCATAGTGAAACACCTCACTCTGTTATCAAACAACCAGGGATTACGTTAAGTAACCCAACGTTTTGTGTCTTTGTCTTGAAATTTTGGGGTATTATGATGATTTCAGTTGGACTATCGTTGGACAGAATATCCCTTATATGTCCATGGCCAGTTTTGTTTAAAAACTTTGGCCGATATATTTTCGATATGGTTTTTTTAAAGCCCCAAATATCGATATTGGTCTTCAAAATCCTATGTTGGTTGGGCTCATTGCTCACAAGCACTGCCAACCCACCTCCTTTGAGTTTTGCACCCTTCTGTCAATCTCTGTGTGCTCGTACGGTCTTGAAGCCAGGCAGAGAGACACTGGAGTCTGAGATATGATCCTGCAGCCATGTTTCAGTGAAACCCATAGTACTTGAATGCTGATAATTCTGGCTGGATCCTTGCTAGGGCTTGGAGTTCTGACTTGTTTGACAACCGTAGGGAAGAAAGCAATAAAAAAAAACAAAAAACAATGCAGATTAACTGAAGCCCACAATCTGATCCAGTCTATTCTGGTCTATTTCGGCTGGTAGGGACTCAGACCAAGTAGCTGGTTTCTCTTCTCAGAGGTCAGTAGATCTTTATACGTCCCTCTGACTGTTAAGCCTGAGGAACAGCAGCTGTGTGGATGGCTGGCCGGAACAGAAACACGGTATTAACATGTTGACTTAAAGGTCTCCTCAGTGATCCCATGCCCCTGACCCTGTTCTGTTTCGTGTTCTGACAGCGGACCAGACCGGCACCGCCGCCGTGAAGGAGGAGAAGGACCTGATCTACATCTCATCTGAAGAGGACGGTTTAAACAGGATGACTGTTGCTGATGTAAGCTGCTCCCTCAGTGGTTCCTCTGTAGCTCAGTCTGTTTGCCAGAGTCCTTCTGTTCCGGTTCCTCTGGAACCTTTCAGATCATCAGTAGAAGCTCACTGTCAGCCAGAGATGATCATGTTACCCCCAGTTTCCTCATCTTCCGCTCCACCTCATTCACGTATGTCGTGCGGAGCACTTGATCAGTCACGTTAATCAGAGCTGTTCCACATCCACCTTTACTCCTTTGAATGTCATCGTCCATGTAAATCTTCTCCGTCCTTCACCCTCAAAATAATGATCTGAGCTACTTTTTACTCCGCTTCGGTCCGGCCAGGTCAAGATCTGCAATTCCAATCACACCAAACAGGAAAAAGAAGGTCAAAAAGATCCAGTTAGTTAAATTAAAATATGGTAATGACAGATCGGCAACAACAGATTAGAGCATAATTCTTATATATTCCCCAAAACTAAGACCGTTTAATTAAATGATTAGAAGCAAACTATCGGTACTTCAACAGACCAGGAAGCAGATTTCTCATCTCCATCAAAATATTTATTTTATACCGAGAGGCTTCGTCGTTGAATTGCCAACTTGAAGAGGGAGGATTTGCCATCAAACTTCTGGTCAGAGAAAAAACACGTAATATGTAGCCAACATTTGGAAGAAGAATGCTTTCAAGATGACTTGGATAATAGCGCGTTGTGACAAACACCAGATACAGCACTGGAACTTGATCAACAGCCGATACCGCACCGTGACGTCACAAACCAGTAGGTGGCAGTAGTGTTATTTGACAAACATGGAGGCCTCCAGTAAAGCACATTCACATGAAAACTTCTCTTAATTAAAAACACTCATTATTTATTGAACAGTATGTAATAATTTCATATTAAAAGTACTTTCAGAAGTTTGTGCTCTGAATATGAGCTGATTATTATTTTTTTTTAATTAAGCATCCATTACCTCTTATTTTGCTCCTATGAATTAAATTAGCATAATATAGCACATGCTCTCCTCAAGCTCCAAGGAACACAGAGCGTAGCAGGACTGGAGGAACCGTTCAGGCTGTAGGCGTTGCAGTCTGGAATGGAGCGGGTTGTGCAGGATTTCAGGGTTAGACGGAGAAGGTAGATCTGCGTAGAAGTAGTCCACGTCTCCCTGCCATCCTCATTTCTCTAAGTATATCTTGTTTCTGTAGTTCTGTGTCTTTCCTCCCATCATTTCAGCTCATTTACTGGTCTGATTTAGTAAAGTTATGAGCAGGATAGTTCTTCACGTTTCTGCCTGGACCCTGTGGAGTTCCTGAAGCTTGTTTAGGTCTGAGGCGTCTGTCTGTTGATTCTATTTCTGTAATGGCAGGTTTAAAACTTAATCCTTCAGAGTAATTTTTAATGCAGTGAAACCAGAAGCTCTGAAGCTGCAAACTGGATTGTAGCTGCAGCAGTTTCATCTCAATGCTCTCTGGTTCTGGCAGGACGCTGCTGCAGCTGTTGAGCTCCCAGATGTTGACCAGAGGAGGAGCAGTCCGCAGCAGGACCAGGTGAAGACGAGCAGCAGTTCAGGGTGAGAAGTTACCTCATGATCACTGCTGCCTCTATTCTATCCATGATTCAACAACATTGGTGAACCTGGATGTTCTGCTTTCCAGAGAGGACTTGGAACTGGAAGATGGTAGCCCCGTGGTGAACCCTGGGAGGACGGCGCTGCTCGGTCAGGTCTGTAAACCGGAGGGTCTTGGGCCCAGATGTCACTTTAGCTCCACAGAACCGTGAAGACGCGACACATTCTGCCTGATTCAGGGTCAGATGAGCTGAATGAAACAGGTTTCCAGGCAAAGCCAGCCTGGTTCTACTGCTTGGTCTGTACCATCGCAGCCAGAACTGTCACAGAGGAACATAGAGCTCTTTAAAGTCCAGGTTCATGATAAGAACCCAAAGGCCAAGTTCTGCTGTGGATTAAAGGTTCCACATTTCTGTCTAAGCAGAACCAGCTGATTTAATTCAGTCACTAACTCTGCAGGATTCTCTCCTGGATGAGCAGATAGAGGCAGGAGATATTGACTCTTCAGCAATCCCTCACACTAAGCATGCTGGTAGCGACAGTGGAGAGTAAAAAAACTCCCCTTTAGCAGGAAGAAACCTCCAGCAGAACCAGGCTCAGTGTGAGCAGCCATCTGCTGAGGCCGACTGGGGTTCAAGGAGACAGAAGCAGACATAGAAGCAATGATCTATGAGGACTTTCTATGTTAGAAAAGCTAACGGTAAGCTAGCTCCACAGGCTGCTCTGTCTGGGAAAGGAAACGGTTAATCAGACGAACTCTGAGCAAGTTTTCATGTCCGAGGATGAAGGAGAGAACATCCATTTAGTTGCAGTAGAAGCTGAGCCCATAGCTCTGTCTAGCAGAGAAATATCTACAGTGAAGCCTTTCCTTCATGAAGGAACCAGAAGCCGGGAACAGTTCTGCTTCCTGCTGCTGCAGCAGGCCGTTTAACAGCCTGGTTAGAGTTCACAGAGTCAGGGCTGCGTCTCTAGATCTTCCCCTGATCAGACTGTTTGTGGTTCCAGGTTCCTCAGGAGGTCCAGAAGCTTCCATCAGAGGCGGAGAGTCTGCGGTTCTCCCAGAGCGTCTCCAAACAAGAAGATGGAGGCATCCAGGACGTCTGCAGCACATCGGGTCAGACAGCATTTTATGACTTTACCTGATCAGGGTCTGTTCTGTAGACTGACTGACTTACTGACTGACTGACTGACTGCATCTCAGATCACAGAACCTTGTTTGGACCTTTTAGTTCTGGTTCCTCTCCAGGTTAACAGCCACTATTTATTGCTGTTGAGGTTGGTCATGTGCTGATTGTTGGGTCATGTGATGTCAGCGCTGTAGGCGGCTTTGATGGAGCAAACGGATGTTCCTCCAAACCTGAATGATCTGGATCCATCCAGGTTCTGGTTCCAGGTCCAGTCAGCTAGGTCTCCTCACAGCTGCTTTCTCAAAGCGAAGCAGGTGACCTGGAGACGATCATCCAAGCTTTGTTCTGAACTCACTCGTCCTTTGCCTTCAGAATCCTGCTGCTTGTCTCCAAACACATCCCTCCTGTCCCCCCCCGCCTCCTCCCGCCATTCTGTGAGTTGCCAACATTCCAGTGTGTGCAGAATGTCCCGGCCGACATCCTATCTCGGGGGCGTCCACCACCGGGGGGAGTGGAGGCTCCAGCCAGAGGTAGTGGGAGCTATTTGGGAGAAGTTCGGAAGAGCAGACGTAGATCTGTTTGCATCCACCCATTGCCCGCTTTGGTTCTCCCTGACAGACAGTGCCAGTCACCTAGGTCAGGATGCGCTGTCGCACGACTTGCCGCGGGCGCTGCTCTATGCATTCCCGCCACTTCCCCTGATAGGCCCAACCTCCTGAGGGTCTTTCAGGAGGGGCACCAGCTGCCACTGGTGTACACCCATAAGGGGAAGGCTTTTAGCCGCTGGTGTCAGGAAAGACTTGAGGACCCTGTACACTGTCCTGTTTCTGTTATTTTAACCCTCCTTCAAGCACTACTTTCTAAAGGTCGCTTTCCATCCACTCTGAAAGTTTATGCTGCTGCCATCTCTTGCTGGCATTCGGTGGTGAAACGGTGGGTCGTAACAAGGATGTTTCCTTGTTTCTGAGAGGTGCCTGATGTTTGCACCCTCCAACATGCCCTGTTGTGCCTGTGTTGGACCTCTCTCTTGTCCTCACTGCTCTGCGCTCTCCTCCTTTTGAACCATTGGCAGAGGCAAGCCTTGAGTGTGTGTCCAAGAAGAAAGCTTTTCTCCTCGCCATGGCCTCGGCGAAGCGGGTGGGTGAGCTACATGCTTTGTCTGTTCACTAGTCCAGCTGCCGTAGGAACCCGGCTGGTTCTGGTGTTACTCTCTGGCCTAATGTGGCGCTTCTTCCTAAGGTGGCTTCATCCGCGAGCCACACTGTGTCCTTCCAGCTTGCTCGCCTTGATGCGGGCTTGATGAGCTTCTCTGCCCTGTTCGGGCACTGAAAGCATATGTCAGACTCACAGCTTCTCTCCTGCAGTCGGATAGTCTGTTTGCTACGCAGGGCCCTGCAAAGGGGCAGGCTCTTTCCAAACAGTGCCTTGCACGTTGGATTGTGGATGTGGTGGAACAAGCGTACATTCTGCAGGGCCGCCAACACCCCGCTGGTGTACGGTGCCATTCCACCAGGGGCTTTAGTGTGTCATGGGCCGCTATGACTGGTGTCCCTCTGGAGGCCATTTGTTCAGCAGCCTCTTGGTCAACCCCCGAATACCTTTACTAAGTTTTACAGGGTTAACTTGGCCGCCTTTCACCCAATGGAGGGGTTCCTATCCCGGCACGCACCATCTTCCCAGTGAGGTGGGCATGTTTTCGGGTTGTTTATTTTCTGCATGTGATTCTTCAGGACTCTGTTGGTAATCGTCATCCGTGCTTTAAGCACCGCCTCTGGCGGTCAGTAGGGATGAAATAGAATGAAAGTTACGACTTTTAACTACGGTTCCCCAGATGACCGCCAGAGCGTTCGGTCCCTCAGAATCAATGTGTTTTCATGAGGAGAATACAGGACTGAGCTGTCGTTACGTGATTATATTGGCTCACTGGTGTCACCGGGGGTCATACGTGACTATGTTGGTATAAGATTCTCGAGCTGTGCAAGCGCAAGAGTGATCATTCGTGCTTTAAGCACCGCCTCTGGTGGTCATCAGGGATTCATGGAACCTTAGTTACAATCGTAACTTTTGTTTTTAAACCGGTTCCGTTGACAGTGATCGTTAGGAAGCAGAACCTGATCAGCGCAGCAGGTCGAACCTCCGTAGGCTTGGACTATGTTCTGTTCTCACTGATGGAAACGGGTCCAGTTAAAGTCTGGTTTCAAATCTGGGAACTTTTTTTGTCTTTGTTTGCAGAGACGGAGGAGAAGCAGCAAACGGCCAGTCGGGTTCCAGCTGAGGCAGCCCGTCGTGTCGCCCAGTCAGAAACCCGACGGACGCCTCCCTGTCAGGGTTCAGGTCAGCCTGCCTTTGTCCATCTGCAGCCCACCGTCCCCCTGTCCGACTCTGAGCCTCCTCTGCCTGGATTCTCTGAAGTGAAGAAGCGGACCAGAACCATTCCCAACATTCTGTCCCGGAGCCGCCGCCAAGCTGCGTCCCTGAAGGCAGAAGGTAAGAGGCGGCACTCAGTGCTTTATCTGGGGTTCTGGTGGCTTTTCTCATCCGTGTTTCTGTCCTCAGAACTGAAGTCAGACCCTGTGCCCGTTGCCGTTCATCCAGAAAGTACACAGCATCGCTGCCCGGAGCAGCAGCCGCCGCTTTCTGCAGCTGCAGCCACGGTTCCTCTGATCCCCACGGAATGCAGCCGGGCCACCGTCCAGAACCTGGGTGCAGCTGGGCCCCTCGGTCCCAACACCTCTCAGAGCTCTGCTCCGACCACGCATGGACCATCTGCTGGGCCAAAACCCAGATCCGATTCGGACAACCAAAGCCTGTCATCCCTTCTCAGCGAAATTGTTTTTCTCAACCAGCAGACTGTTACCACGGTAACGCCAGCAGACCAGGGCAGCCCACAGGTTAACCCCGGTGGTTCCGAGGAACGGAGACGGGCTGCCCCTCGGCCAGAGGCTCCCTGCGAAGGTGTCCTGACCCCGCCCCCTCTGTTGCACATGAAGGTGGGAGCGGCCAAGGCAGAAGGACTCAGCACAAATGACGGCTCTTCGGTCGGAGGGGGCGTGGCCTGGAGGCCGATGCCGAGGCTAGTTCCACTGGGCCTGAGAGGAAACTCGCCCAGCTGAGTCGAAGCGCAGCCGAGCTGGACGCTCCAGAACTGCAGATCCCTCCGATCCACTGGAGGCTCAACAACGATTCCTTCCTCTATTATATCAGACCGCAAACTGGACCGGAGCGGAGAATTAACAGCATTCATTTTATGAACCCAAGCTCTATTAGTTACTGATTTCTCTGTCTCCATGGTAACCGGGGACTTTGTTTCCACGGTAATCACAACGACTGTCTCCATGGTAACTGTTGCCTCTGTCTCCATGGTAACCGTTGACTCTGTTTCCACGGTAAACACGCTGACTGTCTCCATGGTAACCGTTGACTCTGTTTCCACGGTAATCACGCTGACTGTCTCCATGGTAACCGTTGACTCTGTTTCCACGGTAATCACGCTGACTGTCTCCATGGTAACCGTTGACTCTGTCTCCACGCTAACTGTTGACTCTGTCTCCACGGTGATCACGCTGACCGTCTCCACGGTAACCGTGCTCCTCTGTAGGAAGATCTGGAATAATCTCCATGGTTTCCAGACCAGGTCCTTTGGAGGCTGAATTTTTCTAAATGTTTTAGCTGCTAAAGTTTCAGCTCCATCAGTATTTGACTCCCTGAGTTCTGAAGCCTCCTGGGTCGGTTCTGACCCTCATGTCAAGGATAAAATGTTTAGGACTGCTTCTCTGTGTTTGGAAGTTGAGATAAATCCAAGCTGTTCTGCCTGGTCTTCATTTAGTAGGAATTTGTTTTTAAAATATTTGGATGTAGATTGTTTCTCCTGTTCAACACTTTAATATTAATAAAGTTTTTTGTTTTTTTTTAATCAATGAGCCATGATGTTGGTCTTTGATGTGGGGAATAGGAACTGGTCTCCTCAGGTGAATTCTAGCCTGGGGTCTTTGGGTTTCTCTCTACATCAGCCTCCAAGTCTTTAAGCCACAGATTCTGAGCAGGTTAGAGATCTGAACTTTGACTAGGCCATTCTAACCCATGAATTGTTGGTGTACGCTCCACCGTGTCCCTGGCTGGATGTTCAGGTGAACCTCCACAGCTTCTAATAGGTTTTCATCTAGGATAGTCCTGATTGAGCTCCACCCATCAGCCTCCGTTCCCCACAGCATGATGCTGCCACCACCACCCTCTTTTTATCAGATTATAGTCATTTAATGACGGAGGTTGTTGGTGTTGGCTAGGGAGAAGTAGCTGCTCACCACTGAGCTGTGAAAGAAGAGGATCTGGACAGAAACGGTGGTTTGGACATGGACAGAAGAACATTATGCACTTTTAATGGGTCCTAATTAGCAGATGGTGTCAAAAATATGTTTATTACTCCAGTATAAATCCTGCTGTTTAAAAACTCTTTCATAGAAGTTAGAGGATCAACTTCAGCTTAAAAAAAAGGTAAAAAAAAGGTAAAAATCTAATGCAGGAACAAACATCAAGGACAGAAGGTTTACTGCACTACCCTATTAAAGGAACATTTTTCTATAATTCTGGATGATAACTTCCTTAGACTTCATTTTCTTAGTTTTTTAACTAATGGTGTCAAATTTAACATCATTTTGGTAAACTATTTATTTTGGTACGTGGTGAGCAACAAGTTGGGGCAGCACAGAGTCCAAAGAAATTGTCTGGATGAAACTAATTAATTTGATAGTTTTTTTTTTTTTTTTTTAAATACCAACAAGCCATAATGAAAATTAGCTTAAATTAAACTATTTTTTTCTATTTTTAAAATGTAAGGAATAGAAAGTAAAAATGACTCCAGTAAAGTATAGATGGCCGAAATTTCTACTTCTGTAAAGTAATGAAGTATTTGTAGTTTATTTGAGGTGGAAAAAAAAAAAAAAAAAAAAAAAAAATCCAGAACCTTTCGGCTCCTCTGGGCCACTGTTATTGTGAAAAGCCCAACCGGAAGCAGTAGCTAGTGCCGCATGCGAGCTTGCCGCTGTCGGTTTGGCCGTGCGTCTCCAGCCTGTCCGCTTTAAACCTTTTACTGCTGCGGAAAAAATGGCGAACTGGATCCTAAGGAACTGGGCCCAGGCTGTCTGACAGGTTCCGGTCCAGTTCGGACCGTGGACAGCATGCCCGGACCGCCACCGGGCGGATAGCGCTTCACCGCGACCCAAACAGTCCTCTAGACGAGAGCTGCCGGCGGAGGGTGACGAGATGTCGGCGGAGGGAAGCGGAACCATCCGCAGGCGGATCAAGAACCTGCTGCGCTCCCCGTCCATCAAACTGAGACGGACCGGAGCGGCTCGGAACCAAAACGACCTTAGCGGCAAGGTACAACACACACACACACACACACACACACAGACATACAGACACATACAGACAGACTCGGACACAGACACACACACACACACACACTGAGACACACACACAGACTCGGACACAGACAGACACTGGTCAGGACCGGTTGGATGGTCCACCTGTCATGGCCCTCTGCTCAGCTGACTGGTTGTACTGGTACTGTTGGGTCGGACGTATATGAAGGTACCTTCACCATCTTCAGAACCCTGAAGTAGTACCAGATGACCCGGCACCAAGAGCAGCAGGTTTTAGAGGGAACCGGTTGAACGCCACCAGAACCAGTGGATCCATCATGGACCGGGTCCTCTGCAGGGAACGGAACCAGGCCGGGTCACAGAACAACTCAGAAGGGCTGAATGCACGGTTTGAGGTCCAGTAGAGGTTCTGTAGATCATTGGATTAAAACCAACGCCCAAACGAACCTCCTAAGATTGGAACATGAAGAGATGTTCTTGGAGGTTTTGAGAAATCGTCCTGGAGCGTCACCAGAACCTCTGCCGGTCCATAACCCTGTCTGGGTTTCATTTGGGCCGGAGCAAAACCGGGAATTGACCCAAAGAACCAGCAGCACTAATCAGGCCGACTTCTGTGAGAACAATTGGTGCCAGCACTAGAACCGGTCTGTCTCTAACCAGAACCACAGTTCCTCTGTGTTTGGGTTCTACTCCAGTGGTTCTGTTGGGTCCACAGCAGTGGTACTGGGACATCAGCTGGAGCTGTTGGCCAGAGCCAGAAGAAGAAGTGGTCCCTGATCAGTTTCCTGCTCTGAGGGTTGATTTGTGTCTGGACTTGCAGGGTCCGGGTTGGTGGATGTGCACCGGCCCGGTTCTGCTTTCCTGTTCCTTGGGAGCGGATCAGGGCCCAGAAGAAACGGCATGTTGTCAATTGGTTCCTGTTCAGATTAGCATCAAGGAAACGGCTTCATCTTATCTTCAGTCCATCAAAGCGTTTCCTGAAAAACCAGTTGATCCACCAGTGAACCCAGCAGGTCCACATCAGACCGAAACCTGCTGCCCATTTCAGCCATCATCATCAGCATCATCATCATCATCCTCACCATCATTGGTTACCAGGAAGCATCACGGCCTTCCTTTACTCAGTTTGTGAAGGAATTGCTGGTATAGGCTGAAATGGGCTGATGTTTCTGGTGTGAACAAGAAGTCCTTCCAGCTGTTCTCTGGTTCCAGCTGCATGAGGACGTCCACGTTTAGAGGAAACATCTGGACCAACCTGAACTCTAATGATGGATAAATCCCACATAAGGAGTCAGAGACACGTTTCCAATGATTTAAAACCATAATAAAATAAATCAAAGATCCTTTGGGTTCCTGTTCCTCGCTACTGTGATACCACGTGACCGCTTCGCGAAGTGGTTCGGAAAGCGCAAGAATTTTGACAGGCATCTAATAGGGCTGGGCGATATAGAAAAAAAGCTTATCGATAAAAAAAAATGCATATTGATTGATATCGATAATTATTGAAAAGATTTGATGTGCAGCTCTGCCTGGACTTTTTATAATATTGCTAAATGATTTAATTTTAATAAAAAACACAAACACAGACTTCGAATTAAATCTTTATTTAACCAACTTTTTTAACCATAACAGAATTGTTTTAAAGAAAAATAACTTAAGAGACCTGAGTTATGTTATTAAATACCGACAAAGAATAAACTAAAGTGACCAGAAAAGTGACCAAAATAAATATAACAAATAAATAAATGCCCCGCCGCCGCCGCCCCGTTTCCTGCTTTAACCTGAGTTATTACTTTGAAGTTTCTGGCCCTCAGCATTTTTATCTCAATTTTTAGAACTACGTGGGAAACTGCCCAGAACTGAAAATATAAATATATTTTCCGAAGATTCCTTGGAGGAGAGCCGCACCGGGGCCTACACAGCTCGTACTCCTGCGGCTGTGAGCGGCTGAGATGATAAAAAAAAAAGTTGGTTTCGTTTTCAGACTGGTTTTCACTGGTTCCCGACACATTTTCCAGATGACTGTGGTTTGTTTTTGGTCCGAGTTGCCATGACCGAAATACTGCCAGACTGCCGAACTACAAAAACCTTTCTTTGAAACAATTTCCTCCGCCTCTCCTTGCTGCACATCTTCATGTGCTCTGTGTTGTGGTTTGAGAGGGCGGCGCTAGGTGACGGCGTGCCTGGGTCCGCGATTGTGATTGGTTGGGAGGAAGCAGTGACTAGCATAAACCTACATGCTAGGCTTCAATGAGAAGGAAGGAAAACTGCGTTTCTTTTTTATCGAACTTTTATCGACCCACTTTTTTTTTATTGCGCCACACGTCTATCGATCGATATATATCGTTATTGAATTATCGCCCAGCCCTAGCATCTAAACAGCCTCAGTGTTCAGTCAAGATGTGGCAGTTTGGAAGAGAGTCGCTGTCAGCTGGATGAAGTTTGGATAGATTCTAAGAATAGATTGGTTGGAAAAACAACCAATCTAGTTGGTTAAAACTAATTTGGTTAGAATAAACAATGTAATGATCAAAATCTGAGGAAACCACCGGAAAAAGTCAGTTTTAACACGTCACTATTAACTTGTATTTTCCTCCGTATTATGGTTATCTATATAGGTGGCGTCATCTCACTCTAGAGGTTGATGGTTCAAAACCTGTCTTTGACTTTTGAAAGTTGCGATTAAACTTAATTATTTTGGCTGATGAGACTAGTTTGCATTGTTTTGCCCGAGTAAAAATATAGATTGGGTAAATTAGGTTGGTTTAGCCAAAAGATTGGTTGAACACAACTTACAGCCTGATTGAAACCAAAAAATGTGGAAAATCTATCATATTTGAATA